CAAATATTCCCATAATAGAGTATGGGATAAAAGTATCATAGCAAAGTAAAATAAAAATATTTTATCATATTCCTCTGGGAAATTTGATAATGTGATATTTGTATCCTGTTCATATCTATTTATGCTAATTTTATATTCAATGAAGAATAGAGCTCGAATCGGTTATTCAGTGAAGAGAACTATTAACAAAAAAAATGAAAAAAATGTTGATTTTGTCTAAAGTGACATGTTCTTAATAAAATAAAATTATCTTACTTAAGAGCCATTTTGGGGGGATCCCTGGGTGGCTCGGCGGTTTAGCGCCTGCCTTTGGCCCAGGGCGGGATCCTGGAGACCCGGGATCGAGTCCTGCGTGGGGCTCCTGGCATGGAGCCTGCTTCTCCCTCTGCCTGTGTCTCTGCCTCTCTTTCTCTATGTCTATAATGAATAAATAAATAAAATCTTTTAAAAAAAAGCCATTTTGTTCAGTTTTCTATATGTATACTATAAGGAAAATATTCTAAATTATGACTTCTTTTAGTCTGGCTATATTACCTCTAAAGTTTTATTGTTTAAAAAAAAAATCCCTCAACTGACAACATAAGTAGTATCTGTTTTACAAACTTGAGGAAATGCAGTTTAAATAAATTAGAGGTTCTATAGGAATGAAGTCACAGATAAGAATCAAGACTTTTGTCTTAAGCTTCCAAAAGCTTCACCTCCATTTCTCTTGGTTGTACTTGGATATTTGCTTTTCATCTTCAGCTTCTCATGAGTTTCAGGCTAAAACCAACACCTTTGGGGGAAATTTGGACAAAATGTTTTTGAATCCTCAAAACTTATCCTTAAAACTCAATACTTATAACCCACTATTATGCAAATAAACCACTCATAAATTACTCAATAGGAGTAGTAACTCATTGTCATGTTTGTATTTAAATCTGACAAAGCGGTGTAAAGCAGACTTACTTCCCCAATGCCATTTGCAAAATCAGTTAATCTTAGAAAACTTTTAATAAAAGTGTGTTACTTTAGTATTGTTTCCTCATGTTTTCTTTGACTCATATGGAGAATCAGCTATAACTGAACAAAAGTAAGAAATGCCCCTATAAGAGTAGAATGGTATTTCCCCAATACTTTATTGGACACTTGCTGCATATATGGCATTGTTCTGGATATTAGAGGTACACAGTAGTAAAACAGAAATTGTTTGCCATTTGTCCTCAATGGACTAACAATCTATTTGAGATGACAAAGCATCTTACACATAGAGAGAGACATTCTTGTTGGATGTGCTAATTCAATGAGGGAGGTCAAAGTAGAGTGACATTCCTGATAGATGGAGATGAATTGGCATATTATAGTTACACAAGGACAAGTCCCGGGCAGCCGTTAGTAGGAGAAACACTGAACAATGTTGGAAGGATAATTCACAGAAGTTATCCAAAGTGTCAGAGCTTTTTCCTAGCCTCTTACTTGAAACATGGAGCTGTCCTAGAAATGGAAAGTAAAGAGAAGTGCAGGCAACTCTTCTGTCAGACTTTCAATGTAGTGCATCTTTATTGAAAGGATATCATATCCATGAAAGTAGCTCACAATCTAGGGCCAAAACTATATGTAAGTCAACCATTTGCAAGCCACCATAGATGATGCAAAAATTAAGTTTTTGCCATTTAGAAGTTTATAGATAGTAGGGGAGCTTAGACATGTATAAAAATGACTAATACAAAGCAGAGTGAGGTAAGAATGAAGTCAAAGGATGGGGGATTTTAACTATGACAAATTGTGTTTTCCCAAAGCAGCTGGTGCAGTATTTTGTTCCACCTGCATTTCCACAAGAGGCAAGAGGTAGAGTCACCAAGAGGTAGAATCTGTTTTCCCGGTTTTTGAGATTGAGCAGGACTTCGTGGCTGCTTCTATAAACATGATGCACTGAATGTGATTCTTTTTTTGTTTGTTTTTATTTATTTATTCATGAGAGAAACAGAAAGAGAGGCAGAGGGAGAAGCGGGCTCCATGCAGGGAGCCTAACGTGGGACTTGATCCTGGGTCTCCAGGATCATGCCCTGGGCTGAAGGCAGCGCTAAACCACTGAGCCACCTGGGCTGCCCTGAACATGATTCTTAATCACTAAAAAGGACATCCCTTGGCACCCAGCGGACATGTTTTGAGGAAGCCCAGACAACATGAAGGAGCCCTCTGGTGGGGTGGGGGTCTTGAAGAAGACCTGTGGAGATATTGAAGCTGAGAGCCAGCCACAAATGCTGGACTTGTGAGAGAGCCTTCTGATCATTTGGAGCTGTCCCAGATGACTCCAAGTGGAGCAGAGATCTGTTAGGCATGCCCAGCCTAACTTGCTCTATCTCTGTGTGTGTATTCAACAATAAGGCCTCACACCAGTTAAAATGATCAGCACAGATTTTAATCAGTAGTATAGTACTGCAGTAGGAGAGTCCAGCGTGAACTGCCCTCAACTTTGATTTGTACGGAGGTCACTGGAGTTTTTAAAGGGCGAATGACAGAACGGGGAGTGGGTGGTTGGGGCTCAGAGTCAGGCAAGCAAAAAATGTCAAAAAGCTGGAAGGAGGAGGGGTTGGTCCATGTGACAGCCATCTGGGTTTGTTAATTAGCACTTTTGGAAGTTAGGCTCCTACCCTCCACGGAGGCAGGGGGACGGAAACCCTATCCTCAGGCATTGGAACAAATGGTAAATTCTTTGGGCAGTTTTGAGTTTTCGCAAGCAGGGTCATCTTAGGGATGGAGCTGTTAGATATCATGTTTAAGGGGCACCTGGGTGGCTCATTGCTTTTTGTGTCTGCATTTGGCTCAGGGCCTGATCCTGGGGTCCTGGGATGTAGTCCTTCATCCGGCTCCCTGCAGAAAGCCTGCTTCTCCCTCTGCCTTTGTCTCTGCCTCTGTCTGTGTCTCTCGCGAATAAATAATATCTTCTAGAAAAAAGAAACTATGTTTATAGTCCGGTCTATAGTCCAGTTTATAGTCTTTAAGCTGTCTTTATAGGCCAATCAAAAGCTTAGTAGAGAAAGGGTCAGAGGAGCCTCGCTCAAGTTTGGTCAAGGAGAAAATCAACCCTTCTTTCCCTCATCATTTGTTTCCTTCTTGGACACAGATGAAAGCATTGGAACAGATCGTTGGATTTGGTGATTATGGATCATCAGTGACCTTGGAAATAGCTTGTTTCATTATAAGTTAGAGCAGAAGTTACATTGCAGGGCTTGAAAATTGAGTTAGAATACATTTGAGGGCCTGTGTGTGCTAAGCTCGTCCGCTTTCACACCTGGAGGAGGTGGCTAGGATCCTTATTTTACTGATGTAGCTCAGAAAGGTTCATCGCCCAAAGTCACTAGGAAGGAGAGGAGGGATTAAAACGCAGGGCCGGCTGGTTTCTAAGACTGCCTCCCTTAGGGCACCCCATCCATAGACGGGGTAACGGGGGACCAGGTCCTGAAGTCCTGTGCCGGGGAGAAGCTGAAGGGAGCTCCCGTGAGAGGTCGCGGGGAGTTCATGCGCTGTTAACTATAGACAGAGAGTCACGGATTTTTGACAACTTCCAAGAAGTTTCGATAAGGTGGGAGCAAAATTAAGAGGGCTGTTCGGGGCACACCGGGTCTCGGGGCTGCTCAGCCCCGTGTCTCAGGGATGCGACCCCGGCCCACGACCCTCGGGAGGCCCGGGCCCCGGACCAGGCGGTCGAGAAAGCCGCCACTGCTCGACTGGGAGCTCGGAGCCGAGCTCAGGCAGGAAGAGGCCCCGCAGCCGCGGTTCAGCCCGGGCAAGCGAGCTCCACTGTGCTGCTGGAGCACAGAACCCCGAGTGGCGGTGGGGTGGAGCACAGGGGGAGCACCATCCCCCAGCGGCGGGGTGGAGCACAGGGGCGGGAGCACCATCCCCCAGCGGTGGGGTGGAGCACAGGGGCGGGAGCACGAGCCCCGAGCGGCGGGGTGGAGCACAGGGGCGGGAGCATGGGCCCCGAGCGGCGGCGGGGTGGAGCACAGGGGCGGGAGCACGGACCCAAGCCGCGGCGGGGTGGAGCACAGGGGCGGGAGCACGAGCCCCGAGCGGCGGGGTGGAGCACAGGGGGGGGAGCACGGCCCCGAGCGGCGGGGTGGAGCACAGGGGCTGGAGCACGGACCCGAGCCGCGGCGGGGTGGAGCACAGGGGCGGGAGCACGGGCCCCAAGCCGCGGCGGGGTGAAGCACAGGGGCGGGAGCACGGGCCCCGAGCGGCGGCGGGGTGGAGCACAGGGGCTGGAGCACGGACCCGAGCCGCGGCGGGGTGGAGCACACAGGCGGGAGCACGGGCCCCGAGCCGCGGCGGGGTGGAGCACACGGGCGGGAGCACGAGCCCCGAGCGGCGGGGTGGAGCACAGGGGCGGGAGCACGGCCCCGGAGCGGCGGGGTGGAGCACACGGGCTGGAGCACGGACCCGAGCCGCGGCGGGGTGGAGCACAGGGGCTGGAGCACGGACCCGAGCCGCGGCGGGGTGGAGCACACAGGCGGGAGCACGGGCCCTGAGCCGCGGCGGGGTGGAGCACAGGGGCGGGAGCACGACCCCGAGCGGCGGGGTGGTGCACAGGGGCGGGAGCACGGCCCCGGAGCGGCGGGGTGGAGCACAGGGGCTGGAGCACGGACCCGAGCCGCGGCGGGGTGGAGCACACAGGCGGGAGCACGGGCCCTGAGCCGCGGCGGGGTGGAGCACAGGGGCGGGAGCACGGACCCGAGCCGCGGCGGGGTGGAGCACAGGGGCGGGAGCACGGACCCGAGCCGCGGCGGGGTGGAGCACACAGGCGGGAGCACGGGCCCCGAGCGGCGGGGTGGAGCACACGGGCTGGAGCACGAGGGCTGGAGCGCGCCCGCGGGAGCGGCGGCGGTAGCCATGGCAACGCGCCGACGTCCGCCGCGCGGGGGGGCCAACGGCCGGGGCCCGCGTCGGCGGGGGGCGGGGCCGGGGGCGGGCGCGCGGTCACGTGGCCCGGGGCGGGGCCTGCGCGGGGCCGGCCCGGAGCGCGTCGGGAGCGGGCGGCGAGACCCGAGCCGCGGGACGGGAGCGAAGGCCGCGCCGAGGCCGCCGAGCCCCTCCGGGCCGCCGCCATGGGCAGTGAGTAGCGGCGGCGCGGTCCCGCGGGGCTGCGGGCGGTGGGGCGGGCGGGCGGCCGCCGGGTCCCCCGCCGAGGCTCCTCGGGCGCTGCGGCCTGGCCCGGGGCGGCGGCGGGGACGGGGCCGGGAGGCCGGGGGTCCCGGAGGCCGGGGCCGCTTCGCTGGGCGGCGAGGAGCGCGGCTCGGGACGGAAGGCCGCGGCGGTGGGGCGGGGGGCGAGGCCCCGACGAACCCTGCGGGACCGCTTCGCGCTTTCCCAGGAGCTTGGGAAGCTCGTGTTTTCGTTCCCACGTCGCCCTTCCTCGGCGCGTCCGTGGAGGTGGTGCCCTAAGCGCTCTGACTTGTTTGATTTTTTTTTTTTTAAAGTGATGCGCGGCATCATTTAGGGGAGGAAAGAAGTGCGATGGGCAGCGTAGCGTTTTCCCTGAAATGTTCATTTCAGTTCTTCTGTAGCGTTGGCTGAAAACCCACCGTGTGTAAGGTTGTCTGAGCCTCGGGGACGAGGCCTTGGATCCCGGGCGTCCTGGGGGGCCGGCTCCCCACACCGCAGCCACAGGCGTTCACCTGTGCACTAGCCTAGCCGAGGAGCTGTTCGTTGGATGAATGGGTTTGCGTTCATCCACATTCCTACCTCCAGAAGTAGGTAGGATTTTGCACGACCTCACCTGCAGAACCTGAGCGGTGCAAACCTGAGCGGTGCACCCACTGGCCAACTAGTGGACGTTTAGAAAGGAAGTGGCGGGGGGGGGGGACCCCTGACCTTGAATTTGCAGTATAATCGGTGAAATTCTGCAGCACAAGAACAGACAAGCGGCCGACGAGAAGCACGGCTTGCACGTGAACTCTCCCAACACGGATGATCGCAAAACGCCACGGAATCCGGGAGGGTGGTCTGGATTGAGGTGGGATGCAAAAGGGGACGAGGAGTCCAGGAAGTTTCCTTGATGTGTGATTGACAACTTGTTTTGTATCAGAGAAGAATACTTCCGTGATTCAGGGTTGCTTTCCAAATAGTCCAAAATGGTACTTGGACGATGAATATCTCTGCCCGTGGGAATTTCTCAATTCTTCTGTCAAACATCAGTGACTTACCATTTTGAGAAGTTTCATGAGATTATATAGTCCGCTTTTGGCTAACTGTGCAAGTGTAATTAATTACTCAGGTCTATTTTATTTTATTTTATTTATTTATTTTTTACTCAGGTCAATTTTAAATCCATTTCGTGATGTTAGTATACAGGATCCAGGGTCTGTAGGGGAAGGTAACTCACAGCTGGTTGTGCCTTCTTGTGTGTCTGCACGTTACAGACGCTGGCAAAGGCAGAGGGAATATCATCTTCATTCTCCAGTTCTTTGGCAGGAGTTGACGTAAGCTATGCCAGAAGATAGTGTCTATCCTTAAAGAACCTTGGTTTGTCTTACTTTTATGTCGAATGAGTTAATCTGGGAAAGCAGTACTTTCTCATGAAATGTAATGGTCACGTTCTGCTGGGCTGGATATTGTACATACACAAGTACTTTGAGATCATCATGTGGGAGAGCAACCAAGCAGTGAAATGTTGACTTAAGTGAAATGAAGTAGAGATTGTACAGTTAAAAAAAAAAAAAAAAAAGCTATCTATGTGGAAGATGATTCTGTGATCTTTCTCAGGCATTTCAGCTATCTTTCGGCCTAAATTAAGCCAGTTCTGCAGTTTCAGCCCATTTCCTGTTGTACTTTCCTCCTGTATTCTCTGGATATGTTTTATTTTCTTCTAGGGTGCGTTGTCATGTGGGTAATGTAGTAGCTTGCATTTGCTTTTTTTCCCCCAATGTAGTGATGCTCATTGAATTATTCCTTTTCTGTATATATAAAAGGGCTGGACACACGCATGGGGAAGCAAAATCATGGTAAAAGGATATTTGTATTTGCTTCTACTGACTAAACCCTTAAACCTTTTGGATTCTTTTGTCCTTTAAATTACCTTTTTTCCCTGATACAATATTTGAAATGGAGAGCACTAGGATTACTTTTGGAGGTAGGAACGGGATGAATTACCATTAAAAGTTAGAGAACATTTATATTTGTTTCTATAAAAAGGTACATCTCTTTTTAAAGACTTTGTAACAGAGAAATTCTTTTATTTATTTATTTTTAACAGTCAAATTTTTAGAAGTTATCAAACCTTTCTGTGCAGTTCTACCAGAAATTCAGAAACCTGAAAGGAAAGTAAGTATAACATTTTGGTAATATAGAGGGTAGCTAAGTGATTTATTCTACTGACCTAGTAAGATTGATTTATTGTCCCCAACTCTTTTCTGGTTTATTTGGAGAAATATTACCTGCTCCTCCTTGCAAGAGGCACAAAGTAAGTAAAACTAGTATAGACCAGTTTAGATAGATTATCTTCTGGTTTTAAGAATGCCTGTTCTTTAAGTTGGGACATTTCCAAACCAAGCGTCTCTTTGGCGTGTGTGTTACATAAGAGACAATATTGCCCTGTCTCTGGTGACCCACCGCACTATGAATGACTCAGTGCGGTGACCCCCAGAGCCAGGTCACTTTTGAGAAGTGCAACTGTTTGACAGAAATGAATTACAATTGTGCAAGTATATACCTCCCATTTCTTGATCATTCAATACAAAGAAAAATCACAATGCATTCATAAAAAAATGTGACTGAATCAAATTATTCTTCTGTCATTGTGCACTTTTGGAGCTCAGGTATTTAAATTCAGGAATATTGTTAATCCCAAACTGGCCAGTTCCTAGACAGTCCTCTTTTGTGCTTTTGATATCTCACAAAACTAACAGGAATAGGTGTGTATAGGAAGAGATAAGTAAAACTTTTGTTAAACTTATTGTTTTATCTAGAAGTGTCTTTCTTCCTTTTTCTTTCCTTTCTTTTCTTTTCCTTTCTTTTCTTTTCTTTTCTTTTCTTTTCTTTTCTTTTCTTTTCTTTCTTTTCTTTCTTTTCTTTTCTTTTCTTTTCTTTTCTTTTCTTTTCTTTCTTTTTCTTTTCTTTTCTCTTTTCTTTTCTTTTCTTTTCTTTTCTTTTCTTTTCTTTTCTTTTCTTTTCTTTTCTTTTCTTTTCTTTTCTTTCTTTCTTTTTATTGCTTTTAGGTTCCAAAAATAGTTGTTCCAGTTACATGTTAGGCATCCCAAGAAGCTCTCACTTTCCATATCTCATGAAATATTCATATAATACTATTATGGGCAGTCCCAGCTCTGCACAATGTTATGTTAACTGAAATGCGTGCATATTGGATCCGTGTTTTGCTTTTTCATCCTTTTTGGTTTCAGTCAACATAGTATAGTGTGATGAGGCCTGCCTCTGTTTAATTTACTTAATACTTGGAAAAGTAAAGAAGGTTATGTTTGAAAAGTTGAGCTGTTTGCTTTAGCTGTTACTAATGAGGTGAGAATATCTTAGTGGTAAATAATAGAAGCATGTTGTGAAGCAGAATGTTAGTTATGCTTTAATGTGGAATTTTGCTTTGTATTTGTTATTTCTTGGTTTTGATTGATCATCTTTATTTTGTTGTACAGATCCAGTTTAGAGAAAAGGTACTATGGACTGCCATAACTCTCTTCATTTTCTTAGTATGTTGTCAGGTATGTAACCAAAATATTAATTCAATGTTTATACTGTTATGTGAGGGTTTTGATTGGTTACAATTTGAGAAATTTTATCTATTTATTTATTTAGATTTTATTTATTCATTTGAGAGAGAGAGAGTGCCCCTGAGAGAAAATGAGCTCAGTTGGGGGTGTGGGGGTAGAGGAGGGGAAGGGCCCAGAGCATGAGGGAGAAGCAGGCTCCCTCCTGAGCGGGGAGCCCGATACAGGGCTCAATCCTAGGGTGGGATCAAGACCTGAGCCAGAGGCAGATGCTTAACCGACCGGGCCACCCTCGTGCCCAAGAAATTTATTTTAGTTAAAATAATATCCTGAATTATTTTGAGCATTGTTATTTTTAATCTGAGTTGATAGTAAAAATGATTATCTTGTCCTACTGTGAATTTTTTTTTTATTAGTGGGTTTGAACATTTTTTTCTTTTTTTCTCTTAGTGTGCGATTAATGATCTTTAGCCACTTTTCTCTTGAGATACTTTTGGTATTGATTTCAGATAGATTTTTTATATGGAAAAATGTTAAACCTTTGACCTAGACATTGCAAATATATTTTCTGTTTCGTAGGCCTTTAATCATGTTGTAAATAGCATGTGTTAATTTTAAAATCCCAAAAAGTCACATTCTGGAATTCCAGTGATATACTGTATTTATAAATAGATAAAATTCAGTGATGCTTTTTATTAACATTTGCGAGATTAAGTTCACAAAATGAGGATAAAATGTGACATATCCTTGTTACAGGATTGTTGTGAGGATTAAACTAGATGATTTGGATGCAAGTTTTTTGAGGATTTTAAAAAGCTATTGAAATACATGTAAGGAAGTATAAAAAAAAATATTAGGAAGCAGTAGAGCAGATTAAGTCCATAGTCTGGGAAAAGCCAAATACTTTTTTTTGAAGAGTGAGATGATTTGGTCATTAAGATATATTACTACTGTACTTGGTTTAAAATAGTTTTGGGTGGTCAGGGAGAGAGAATTTTTTTTTTAAGTACAGAAAAGTAGTGAGAAAAAAGAATAATCATGCATATTTTTACCACCTACTTTTAACATCTTAGAAATTCCCCTCCCCTCCATAAAAAAACTCCAGCTTTATAAAGGTATAATTTATGTATCGTAAAATACACTTATTTTTTAAGTGTACATTTTGAAGGGTTTTGACAAATGTATACACCCACATACCTACTACCTCAGTGGATACAGAACATCTGTCACTCCAGAAAGTTCTGTGTAATGTCTTAGTCCCCACCTCACCCCCAGTGTCAGGCAAGCACTGATCTGCTTTCTGTTCCTATAATTTGATTTGTTTTTTTTAGAATTTCATCTAAGTGGAATCATACAGTATTATTCTGGCTTCATCATCAGCATTTTGAGATTCATCCATGTGTTTGGTAGAGCAGTAATTCATCCCTTTCTATTTCTGAGGAGTGTTCTATTGGATGACTCTACACAATTTGTTCATTTATTCACTTGTTGGATGTTTGAGTTGTTTGCAAATTTTGGTTTTGATAAAGTTGCTGCAAAAGTTCTTGGGCAAGATTTTCTGTGAATATTTGTTTCAATTTCTCATTGGTGAATACCTAGGTGTAGAATTGCTGGGGTATATGATAATTACAGGTTCAGCTTTAGAAGATGTCAAACTTCTTTCTAAGTGGTTGTCCATTTTATATTTTCACCAGTCATGTATTGGAGTTCCCGTTACTCCCCATCCTGGCCTGCCCTTTGTATTACTGAGCATTTTAATATTAGTCATTCTAATGGGTGTGGTTTTAATTTGCATCACCTTGATAAATGACATTGACATTTTAATATGCATTCCCTGGTAAATGATATTCAACAACGTTTTCATGTACTTATAGGGCATTTGTTTATTTTCTGTGAAGTTTTTTCAAATCTTTTGCCCATTAAAAAAATCATATTGTTACATTGAATCATAAGCTTTTTAAAAAAGGTTTTTATTTATTTATTTGAGAGAGAGAGCACTCATGAGCAGGGGGGAGGGACAGAGGGAGAGGGAGAAGCAGACTCCCCGCTGAGCAGGGGGCTTAACTTGGGGCCTCCATCCCAGGCCCCTGGGATCATGATCTGAGCTGAAGGCAGATGCCTAACCAACTGAGCCACCCAGGCACCCTGAATTATACGTATTTTAAAATATTTTCTGAATACAGATCCTTTGTCAGATACATATACTGTGAATATGTTTTCCTAGTCTGTGGCTTGCCTTTTCATTTCCTTAATGTCTTGTGAAGAGCAAAATTCTTTTCATTTTGAAGAAGTTCAATGTGTCTTTTCTTTGATGGTTCATGGTTTTTGTTTCCTACCTAAGAAATTTTTGATTATTTTAAAGTTGTGAAGATTTTTTCTCTGTCCTAAATATTTAGTCTCAGCTTGTATGTTTTGGTCTGTGATCTATTCCAGGTTAATTTTTGTATATGGAGTAAGTAAGCCTGGGTTCATTTCTTTCTATATGGTTAGCCAGTTGTTGAGAAGGCTCTCCTTTCTCCATTGAATTACCTTGGGATCTTTGTTGAAAATCAATTAACCGTGTAAGCGTGGATATATTTTTGTACTCTGTTCTGTTCCATTGATGTATATTCCATGGTTATGGTTACACCGTTTGATTACCATAGGTTTGTATTAAGTTCTGTAATCAGGTCGTAAAAGTCCTCCGACTTTGTTTTTCCTTTTTGAAATGGTTTTTGGTTATTCTATGTTCTTCATATTTCTGTATAGATATTAGAATCAGCTTGTCAGTTTCTCTGAGAAGGCTTACCGGGATTATGATTTATATTGCTTTGAATTTATGGATGAATTTAGAGAAAATTAGCTTCTTGACAATATTGAATCTTCTAATCCAAGGATGAGTGAACATTGTTCTGTAAAGGGCTGGGTAGTAAATATTTTAAGCTTGGCTGTCAGAACCCTAGAACCATAGGAACTGTGTTGCTCAAAAAGTGGTATTTCTCATGACTGTTTCATGCAATAAATTAATGTATGCATTTTTGTTACTTTGGTTATTTTTTCCCCTGCAGTATAATTGCATAGTTGCCAAGCTGGGTTTTATTTATGTCTTTCTTCTGCTTAGGCAGTTCTCCCCAGTGCTGGTGATTTCTTTCCACTGAATCTCAGGCAGGTTTATTTTCCCCTCCCCACTGCAGGTAAAGGGTTTGGGGGTCTCCTGTCTCACCCAGTTTTCTTTAGCCCCAGGGAATGGTGGGAGGTGAGATAAGCTGTGACAAGTGCAGTAAATGTTCCCTGGGTGGTTCTCACCAGGTGACTGAGGAGGGCTCCATTCCACTCCTGACCTCAGATCCCTCCCTTATCCCCACCGCACCCTGGCCCTCTGTCACCCATCCGTTTCTTCCCAGCTGCCATTTCTACCCAATCAGAGGAGGCTGAAAGATAAGGGTATCTGTACAGCCTGCTCTCCTTCAGGTCGTGGGAATTGTCAGCATTCGGCTGCCTTCCTGTGGTGATGGTGGGAGCAGCTCAGTGCTGGGCTCTCTGCTCCTCAGTTGTCTGCAGTTTTCTGGCCTCCGTGACCACCAGCGCTTCAAGTTCATGATCCTTTTTCTTCTTTGGTTGTTTTCTCATTGTTTTCCTTAGCTTTTTAAAATTAAATTTTATTTTTTATTTTTTTAAATAGTCTCCATACGCAGCCTGGAAGCCAATGCTGGGCTTGAACTCACGACGCTGAGTAGATCTCAGGACCTGAGCTGAGATTGAGTCGGATGTTCAGTCGACTGAGCCACCGTGGTGCCCTGTTTTTCCTTAGCTTTTTTCATTCTTGTTAGTGTCTGCTATTTTATGTGTTTTAAAAAGTGTGGTTTCTTATGCATTGGGAAGTTGTGCCCAACTACTGTTGTACGTAACCTGTAGCTGTGGATATTACTGAGAAGAATAAAACCAGACACTGAGTTTAATAATCCTGTTGACTACAGGAGAGGAAGGAATGCCGTTACTTAGGGTGGTTGGCTGACTTTTTCTTGTTCGTTGTTCCACACATCACTTAATTATGGAGGTAATGGCTATCTCTATCAGCTGCAATTAAGTAAAGTAATTTGACTGATTGACCTCTCTCCCAGTTAGGGAATATTGTGATGTGGACTGTCCTGTAGTGTTAATTAGTTTTCATACATGACCTCCTTTCTCCTTGTCTCTCACATTAGCTGAAGAGTGTTAGCAGCGTTAGGGTACACATAAAATACCCATGCATCCTGCCTCACCAGTTTTGCTACCCAGCTAATAAATCCAGATGTCGAGAGAGGGTGAGGTTGACCAGATGGATTGTTCAGAATTGTTGGCAGCATCTTTTGGAACTTAAAAAAAATCAGCTTTGTATAAAGAAAGTTTTTGAAACCGGAAATGTATTTTTCTTTGTGTCTGATCCCTGCATGGTGAGGGGAGGGGTATGGCCAGGTGCTGTGTGTCCTGGACATTGGTCATATAATAGGAAGCATTCTGAAGTTAAGAGTTTCTTTTTTTTTTTTCTGATATAGTAATTTGTACTCCTAGAAAATTTGATAAATGCTGAGAAGAATAAAGAAAAAATTAGCCATAATCCTACCACCTACAGATAATTACTCCACAGTATTTTAAATATTTACACTTAGGTTTATCTTTTACACATTTTTACAGTATTTAACCTAGATTTATACAATTCTGTACCTTTCTTTTTATACCAGGGTTTCTCAACAGCAGCCCTGAATTTTAGGCCGGTTAATTTAATTCTTTGTTGTGGGGGCATTGTAGCAGCATCCCTGACCTCTACCCACCAGATGCCAGTAGCATCTCCCAAGTTGTAACAACCAAAAATGTCTTCGGGTATTGCCAGGTGGCTGCTGAGGGGTGGAATTGCCCCAGGTTGAGAACCACAGTATCATACTTAGTGTTAAACATAAGCACTTCTTTATGCTGTTACAAGATTCTTTATAATTTTCAGTGGCTGCGTAATATTCATCTATCTATCTATCTATCTATCTATCTATCTATCTATCCTTCAGACTTATATTTGGAGTGTGGCTGTCATTGGTAGCCCTTAGCTTAGCAAAATTTTTCCTATGACTGGGTAGATATATCCTATTACTTACTGATAGGGGTATTTTTTTAATTCTAAAAAAAAAATGAAATCTACCATCTTAGCTATTTTTAAGCATAAGTTTCAGTAGTGTTAAGTGTATTCATGCTATTGTGCAACAAATCATCCTGGTAGGTGTGTTTACTAGTAGATTGCTATAGTGATTTCTAATATTTTAATTTTTGTTCAAAAACTTTCCTTTTAGGGTTACAGAACACGAGAAGTAGTGCTCTCTTTTTTTTTTTTACAGTATTGAAAATATTAAGTAATTGAAGTTTGAATTAAGTTAATTCAACTTAATTTAGATAATGCATTTTAATAAACTGTTTTATGTAATATTATAGATACCACTATTTGGAATCATGTCATCAGATTCTGCAGATCCTTTCTACTGGATGAGAGTTATTCTTGCATCCAACAGAGGTATGTACTTTTTTTTTTTTTTTTGCCTCCATACTAGGCATTAGTACTGACATCAAATAGATGTGAAAATGTAGAAATAACTATTTTGATGTCTACAGGGGTGGGGAGCATATGGTAAAAGAAACTCGTTGCCTAGGAGAAGAGACCAACATGTAAATACTTACAAAACTCTGTATGTATTGTAATAATAGAAATATGTACAGAGTATAGATGTACAACAGAAAACGGAGTGATAGCGCCGTCTGGAGCTTTGATCCTCCATCCCTTTATGGGTCATATTTTCTTTGAGACTCTATTAAATTTATTTGTACTCTCCCAAGAAAAAATTCAGATACACAGATTTTGCACAATACCTTTGGAGAGTCATGGACCCTTTGAAGTCTGTCCTTGGGTTTCCTGTGGGACTGAAAGACCCCAATCTGCAGTGTCTGAGGGGACAGTACCAGAATAGCATTTGCATTGGAGTTCAGGTTGTGGACTGAAGGCAGAGGGCGGCCTGAGCTAAAAGCATTTGTGCGTGAGGCAGGGGCTAAAGAGATAGGAGGGCCTGGATCATGGGGGGTTTTGTTGGTAATTTTAAAAATACTGATTAATCATTAAAAAATGCACCAAAATTTGTATACAGTTTTATATAAACCTGAAAATACAAGTGTTGCATCTCAGGGGTAACTCCTGGGAAGAAGATAATAGTTTGGTGAATATCCAGACCTTTTCTCTGCATATACATTCTTGTATATAAATTTATATTTAGAAAAAAAATAATAAAAAAATAAAATAAAAGTAAATTTATATTTAGTTGACCCTTGAACAACCTGGGTTGAACTGTGTGGGTCCACTTATATGTGGACTTTAAAAAAAAAAAAAAACAGTGTAGTGCTATAAATGTATTTTCCTTAGGACATTTTTCATAACATTTTCTTTTCTAGCTTACTTAATTACAAGAATATAGTATATAAAACTTACATAACATACAACCTGTGGTAATCGTCTATGTCATCGGTAAGGATTCCAGTCAACAGTACGCTATTAGTAAAGTTTTTGGTTTAGGGGAGTCCAAAGTTATACATGGATTTTTTTTTTTTATACATGGATTTTTTATTGCATAGGAGGTCAGTGTTTCTAAATTTCTAACCTCTACGTTGTTCCAGGGTCAACTGTGTGTTTTTTGTTTTTTGTTTTTAAACTAAAAAAATGAGATAAACTATGTGACTATTCTACTACTTAGTATGTTTACTTAATTTTTTGGATGAGTTATTTCATTTAACAGCCATACATGTTCCATTATATGGATATGCCATGCATTATTTAATCATTCACGTAGTTTTTGAGTTCTTACTGTGGGGCAAGCGTTGTGCTAAGTGCTGAGATTAGAACAGTGATCAAGACCGTGTCCCTGTTGCCTGGAGTTTATGTTACTCTATTTGAGGAAATAGCCTCTACACAAAGTACATTTAGGGCGAGGGGAGGGACATTGGAGCAGAAACCTGTAGGACATGAGAAAGAAGGCCATGTGATGATCTGAGGGAGGAACATTCTAGGGAATAGCCTGTGCCAAGGCCCCAAGATGTTTAATGTGTTCAGGGACTGATGAGGGGTCAGTATGGTTAGAAGGAAATAAGGAAAGGAGTAATGAGGTAGGACATGATGTTACATATGAGTCCAAGAGCCAGATCATAAAGGGCTTAAAGACAAAGCAAGGAAAAAAAAAAAAGAAGACAAAGCAAGGAGTGTACTTCAAGTGTGATTCCGGGCCACTAGGGTCCTCTTATGTCACACATTTAGTTTTTTCCCCAATTTTGTATCATAACCAGTGCTACCCTGAATGCTGTCACTGTAATACTATCTACTATAATTTTTTAATAGAATTAATTTCTAGAAGCTTCACTTTGCAATATAACATTCACCTAAATTTTTGATAGATAATGCTAAATTATCTTTTAAAAGATTATTATTTTGTACACTCAGCAGCTGTATATGAGAATGACATTTTTCTTCCAATAGTGGATATTATTAGTCCTTTAGTCTTTGAAAGTTGAACAGGTAAAAATTGGTATCTTATTTATTTTATAGTTCTTTATATATGGGCGAGCTTGAACATCATTTTATGCCTTTATTGGATATTTGAATTTTTTCTGAGTGGACTTGTTTTAAATAAGAGAAAATTACTGACTAGTTTAAACACAAAAATGGAATTTATTAGAAAGATACCTGTTGGGCAGCCCAGTTGGCTCAGCGGTTTAGCACCGCCTTCAGCCCAGGTGGTGATCCTGGAGTCCCAGGATCGAGTCCCATGTCGGGCTTCCTGCATGGAGCCTGCTTCTCCCTCTGCCTGTGTCTCTGCCTCTCTCTCTCTCTCTCTCTCTCTCTCTCTCTCTCTCTGTGTGTCTCTCATGAATGAATAAATAAAATCTTGAAAAAAAAAAGAAGAAAGAAAGAAGTATACCTGTTATGTTTTGGAATCTATAGAGGAGATAGGACAGCTAAACCTGGGCTAGGAGAGAGATCCAGGCCAGCTTTAGATCAGCAGCAGGGATTTCCTTTTCTTTGGGATTTAGCTCCCAAAATTCCTGGGTTCTTTGGTTCTTAGCTCAAAATTTCAAATTACAGAATTTACACCAGGTTTGGTTAGAGTTTAAGGTCCCCTCCTGTACGGTCAGTATTTCCCGAGTGTCATTGGGAGCAGCCATACTGTGTTAGCTATTTTTCCTTTTTTTTTTCTTTTAAAGATTTTATTTATTCATGAGACACAGAGCAAGAGAGGGGCAGAGACACAGGCAGAGGGAGAAGCAGGCTCCATGCAGGGAGCCTGACATGGGACTCGATCCCAGGACTGCAGGATCACGCCCTGGGTGGAAGGCAGGCGCTAAACCGCTGAGCCACCCTGGGATCCCAGCTCATTTTCCTTTTTAAAATTTTTTTCTATTGATTTGTTCATTTTAAATTGAGTTGTAAGAACTCTTCCCAAATTGGAGATATGAACTCTGTCATTTGTGTTCAAGTGTTTTTCTTTTAACTTTTATTAAAGCCACCTTAAAAAAAAAAAACTTGTGTAGTATTTTGCCACATGGAATTCTCATAGTTGTAGCTAACCCTAGCATCTACCTTTTTCATTGTGGGTTCTAGGTTATTGTCATGCTTAGGAAGGCTTTTTCTTTTCCAAGATGATAGGCATGCTCACTCCTAGTATTTTTGTCATATTGTCTCTTATGGTTAAATTTTCTATACATTGGGCCTTTATTTCTTTCTACTGGTTGTTACCTTTTACTGTTGAAGAAATATTTGAGAAGACATGAATCATCCTAGGATGGAATCTTTTCTCATATTAAGGGCACCTTTTCAACATTTATAAAAGCTGGGACTTAAGGTTGTGTTATGACAGAATGACCAGTGGGAACATTCTTGATTATATAGAATTACTTTGTTATACACGTTGCCTTGCACACTTGGCGTGTTTGGTTTTATTTTTCTCTATAAGTACCATGTGTTTTCTCTAAAGAAAAACTTGAAAAGCAAAAAGAAGAAAATAGAAATTATCCATAATCTCAGGGATCCCTGGGTGGCGCAGCGGTTTGGCGCCTGCCTTTGGCCCAGGGCGCGATCCTGGAGACCCGGGATCGAATCCCATATCGGGCTCCCGGTGCATGGAGCCTGCTTCTCCCTCTGCCTCTCTCTCTCTCTCTCTGTGGCTATCATAAATAAATAAAAAAAAATTAAAAAAAAAAAAGAAAAGCTCTTTAAAAAAAAAAAATTATCCATAATCTCAATGGGTAAAAATAACCATATTTTGACAGCCACACTAAAATATCAGGAAACTGTTTTTCCATTTAGTATTAAACTAACTGGCATCAAACTGTAATACTGTATTCCAAATTTTTTATTTTGCTATGTCATGAACATTTTATATGCCACTAAATGTTCTATATTGATTTGGATGACTCTGTGTCATTTTAGATTTTAAATTAGAAGAGTCACAAATATTTTTAAATGTCATTTTTTATTAACTTGATATTTAATTTTCAGGCTTGGTATGTAATTTCTTATTTTGCATTAAAATAAAATCCAATGTAAGTTTTAAAAAATCATGATTTGTGCAAAAATTTTGGATTTCCTTAACATTTTAAGTTTAGAGTTTACAGAAATTTACCTTTTTTGGGGATAGTAATTTTGATTCAATGAATTGTTGCAAAGTTGTGTTAATAAAGGAAATAAATGTGTTAATTAATAATGTTTAAAGAATGAAAATCTGCCTTTAAACATTTGAGAATGTGTTTCAGTAGACATTGTTAAGGATTGCAACACTTGTTAACTAATCTGCACTGGGTATAGTAAAGATTATTTACTTTTTCCTTCTCCTTTACAGGAACTTTAATGGAATTGGGTATCTCCCCAATTGTAACATCTGGTTTGATTATGCAGTTGTTAGCAGGAGCCAAAATCATTGAAGTTGGAGATACACCCAAAGATAGAGCTCTATTCAATGGAGCCCAGAAACGTGAGCTATTAATACAATTAAAGAGTCTTTTCCAAATTTGAGAATTTTGTGGCAAAGATATTTTTCTAGTCTTTTTGTCTTTGGTTGTAAGTATGTACTCCTTTTCCCCCAATTTTTGTCAGTATTTGGTATGATCATTACCATTGGGCAAGCCATTGTGTATGTCATGACGGGCATGTATGGGGATCCTGCTGAAATGGGTGCTGGCATCTGTCTCCTTATCATTATTCAGGTAAGAAATCCAATTTTTCATCTGCAGATAAAACAGTTTGATCCCTTTTTTCTAACAATTCTTTAGGTGATATATTAATTTTCTTACTTTTGCATTATTTAATTATAAGATTTTGATTGTTGAAGTGACAGGTATAAATTATGTTGATATGAAAGTTAAAATTTATAATAGCTTCATAGCTGCATGGTATAAAGAATTATAGATTAGCTGTACTTCATTGGTTCTGAGATGCACATTTTTTTACTTTTTGATGTATCTAAAATCAGGATTTTTTTCTTTTTTTAAGATTTTTTATTTGCGGGTGAGAGAAAGCAGGAGCAGGGGGAGGGGCAAGAGGAGAGGGAGAAGCAGATTCCCTACTGAGCAGGAGCCTGCCTCGGGGCTTGATCCCAGGACCCTGAGATCATAAGGGACTGACCATCCAGATGGCCCATAAGGGACTGAACCACCCAGATGGCCCCCGGATGTGTTTTCTTATAGCTGGTAGTGCTCTACAGTTGCTGTCAGCCAGGCAGCAATCATGATAGTAGTCTTCGTCTGCATATGTGTGTCAGCTGGTTAGAGCTATTCGGATGTTTGTTGCATCAATTGTTTATGGGAATTGTTGATGTACAATGTTTTTGAGATTAGCTGCTATTTAAAATGTCTGCAGAAGTCTATGACTTGTTATGGAACAGTCACTCTGTGTACACAAAGGCACAGAACAGCCTAGATGATAAAATCTGTGTTTCAGTCTAAAATAACTTTTCTTGTAAGTAGAAAACAAAATAACTTTGTGAAAAGCTATTGTCATAGTTTAATTGACAGTATTTTTTTTTTAGTGGTACACAAAATAATGGCATCACAAATAATATCTCACACCTAGTAAAATACATGAACCTATATACATATATATTCCATGGATTTTTAAAATAGACCCTTTGGAATTGAACTTTTAAAGGCCAACATAGTTACCCTTTACTAAGTATCTCAAAGTGTGTCAAGTTTAGAAGATACTTTTCTTTTTTTTTTTAATTTTTATTTATTTATGAGAGAGAGAGAGAGAGAGAGAGAGAGAGAGAGAATGGCAGAGACATAGGCAGAGGGAGAAGCAGGCTCCATGCACCGGGAGCCCGACGTGGGATTCGATCCCGGGTCTCCAGGATCGCCCCTGGGCCAAAGGCAGGCGCTAAACTGCTGCGCCACCCAGGGATCCCAGAAGATACTTTTCTAATGTACATTCCATAAAAATCATTTAGAGAAGTTACCCAAGAATGGAGATATATACACACACACACACACACACACACACACACACACATATACACACACACATATATGCACATATATATACACATATATATATAAAATAGTCCTGGTTATTTTGGAAATGCCTATTCTTGCTCCCTCTGTGGAATTAGGATTCTTTTAGGAAGGTTTTTTTTTTTTTTTAATGGTCACAGCATTAATTTCAGAAAAAAATATTTTTAAGTAAAACTAAAATACCAACTTACTAATACATACATAGAGAGATAGGACCATTTCAGACTTGGTATGATTGACCCTTCTTTTTAAATGAGAAACCACATAGGCAGCAAATCAAATCGTGAACAGAGTTATTATTCAGACCAAGGAGAATTAGGTTGTTCAAGTATTTATTGGTGTCATTAACAACAGGGAGAGCTCTTCTAACTAGATGGAAATATTTTCTTTTGACCACGTGAGAATTTTCATGGTAGGTTTCTGAGCCCTAGTGAGGTCCCAATTTGGGTATAAGGTAGAAATCTTTAGAGTAACGTCGTTATTTCTCCTTTTAAAAAACCTGATTGGCAAATTTATAATCTTTGAGAGTTAGAGGAAGAAGTGTTGCAGTGGCTCGGGAGAGAAAATCCTCTGAAAACTGACTTGGATCTTTCTGTGCTTAGGATGTCTCCATGTGCTTCTGGCATTGTTGAGACACTGACATATCGATTGTCTTATTTTGTTTCTTTATAGCCTTTGCTTTATGCAACCTGTAGTTCAGAATAACCCTGATCTTGAAGACACTCAGGATCGGTACCTAACTCTTAGAACATTATGCTCTAGTATGATTTTTCTAGTATTTTAGTAAGGATATTTTTGGATTCTTAAAGAACCTCATCTGATCAGTTCTGGGTTAAAGCATTGACTTCTGTGGAGTCATTACAAATTTGAATTGGAGATAAAATGGAGTTAAGGTATTTTAATTTTTTTCCCCCAGGATAAGAAGTCTAAAAATAGTTGTATTCAGAAATGAAATAAGTGGGTGTATACTTTTTTTTTTAACATATAAATTCTGTTAGATGAATACTTGTGGTTAATTTTTTCAGTGTTAATGTATAGAGAAATGTGTTTGATCATAGGTGGGTAGCATGTCTTTTAAGGCATTGCTAACATTGAAAATGTGTGGATACACTGAAGAGAGATGATTGGATCAGTGTGTTTCGCCTAGAAACATAGATTTTGAAAACTGTTTGCATGCTGTTAGGTAAGGTATTTCTCACATTAATTATTCTTGTTTCATTCACGTGATCATGTCTTTCAACTAGTAAGATTTGAAATCTTAAATGGTGGGTCTTGATTAAAATCCCAGAGTAGAAAATATGTGCTTGGCATATAGAAAAGGTAAGTATTGTTTTGTCAAACTGCGAATGCAAAGCAGAGTTGAAATGTAAAGAGTAATTTTTATGCCTAATTTAGAGATTTATATGTACGGTATATTCCACAAGAGCATCCAGTTAGCATTCAGTTTCCATCACTGTTGTAGTCAACGAGATGCTGTGACTTCCTGGTTTCTCACCCCCCCTGCCCCAACCTTAGAGGTGTAGTTCACATGCTTTTTAGTACCTTTTATCTTATTCTTTTGATTATAGAGACCATTTCTCATTTTGGCTTATTTGTAATTTCTTTGTCTAGTTAGAAAAAAAAATGAGTTTGATTTCCACCAGACATACATGAATCACTCTGTGGTCTGATGGTCATTGGTCTGAACAGGAGGTTTAGAGAATCACAGGTGTTTCAGAGTGACTTTATGACTCTAGACAGGTCATTTAATCAGAAGCCCCTGATCATACTTTTTGGTGGGCTAATAATTTATGGACAGCTCCTATTCCATGCACAGGGTTGGTTTCTGATTGGGAGTATTTATTTACTTTTTACATAATTGTGATCAATATAAAATCTCAGTAGTAAGTCCTAACTTCTGTTTTATCTTGTCAAAGTGTTAAACTTGGTTTTCAAACAGTAAAGGATTCATGAGCACTCTTAGAAGTTTGAAGAATTGTACTCTTTTTCCAATCCTTTGAAAATCAAATTAAGACTGTAAATAGACAATTTAGGCTCTGTACAACTACTGAAATGACAGTTAAGGAAAAAAAAAAAAAACACCGTGGAAGGTAAGCATGCTTGAAATGGTGTACTGTAGTTTGTTTGCTCTCTTTTGTAATGGGGATGTTGGGTAAACTGAGTAAGCAGTGGGGTGGGAGTCTTCAGAGCTGGGAAGAATGGAAGTGGCATTTCCTCACTTTGGTAGGATGGGGTTCTTAAAATGGGGACAGATGTGAGGTTGAAGGCATAGAAGCATCTTTTCTTTCCCTCTTGATTAGGTTACTGAAGTGACTAGAGGTCACGACTTGCAAGGCCAGGAGTTCTTTTTAATTGATGCATGCTTTTATAGAAATGTCTTCTCCAAGAAGAAAATTAAGAATTTTCAATTTCACATAAATTAAAGTCAGTATGCTTTCATTTTGTAAAAAAGGGTAAGGTTAAGGACCTGGCAAATCCTTTGTCTTCAAATTTACATTCAGTCTTTGTCACTTTATGTACGGAGGGCATTTCTTACATTATAATCTCTACTCATATTAATTTGTGCTCTTTTTGGCTTATTCTCTCTATATATTACAGTTGACCCTTGAACAGCACAAGGATTGGGGTGCTGACCCCTCCCCCCACAGTTGAAAACTGCATGTAACTTTTGACTCCCTTAAAACGTAACTAAGTCTATTTACCTGAAGCCTTCCAATAATGTAAATAAATATTATAAATAAATATTTTGTATATTATATACTGTGTTTATACACTGTCATAAGCTAGAGAAAAGATGTTAAGAAAATTGTAAGGAAGAGAAAATACACTGATAGTACTGCAGTGTATCTATAAACAAAAAGTCTGGGTAGGTCAAACCTGTGTTGTTCAATGGTAACTGTATATGTAATATGTAAAATATTACGTATAATATCTTAAAAATAAATTTCACATACTTTTCCTTCAGTGGTAGCATATAATTGTGTCTTGTTATTATACCATACTTCATTTAGTCTTTCACTTATTTGGAACTACTTGGAACATTTTCAGTTTCTTGCTGTCCTAAATTCAACAAGTTTGAACATTTTTGTTTTCAGTGTGCCTTTTTCAATCAGTCTTGTTTAAACATTGTAAGGGAAACTATCCAGGTGGTTTATCATCATGCTGTAAAGGTTGAAATGTCTGCTTCCTAATGTAACAATGTTTCCACCCCCCTGATCTCCAGAAGTGACTTCTCACTAAGGTGGGGTTAAAGAGGTGCTGAGAGTCATAACGGTGCTATTGCAACAATCAGGTTTTAATATGAAAAATGCCCATGCTTTTTGAAAGTAGTCAATGGTGTTCATCGTCCCCTTCCTTGAGTTTATTCTTGCTTCAGCTTACTTGCATTTCTTTCCCCACAGTTGTTTGTTGCTGGTTTGATTGTGCTGCTGTTAGATGAGCTGCTACAGAAGGGTTACGGCTTGGGGTCTGGTATTTCCCTCTTTATTGCCACCAACATCTGTGAAACCATTGTCTGGAAGGCCTTTAGTCCCACTACTATTAACACTGGCAGAGGTACATTGCACAGTGACTGCAACTGCACGAGTTTTGCTGGATGTGTGCTGGAAAGTAACCCATCACAGAGCAGGACAGGCCTGTAGGCATCCTGCTTGCTGTCCCAGGGGCCAACCGCTGCGGATTGCTCAAGAGTTCAGCAGCAGAGATTTGTGGAGTATGAAATATTACTTCACAAAGAATAACAGCTACATTTTAGCCTCTGCTTGTTGAAGATTTCAGTGGTTGCAAGCAGCTTTTTAAAATATCACTTGCTTAAGCCATTGCCGCAGAAGTCATTGATTTGTCCGAGTTCCACATTCCCAGGGGAATAAAAAGGTAGTGGATTAAGATTTTTCAAATGAAAACACTATTATTTACTGTACCATGAGGGAGCATGAATACTTTTGCTGCTATTCTACTTGGCTTGGTAACAGCAACTAAATTTTGAAATACTTCATCTGTCTTTCCCCTTCCCCATCTCCATTTGTCTCAAATGCCATCCAAGATTCATAACGGTTAATGTCTAGAATGACCCCGGCCTTAAGAAAAGAGCAATGATGGTTTATTAGTTTTCTTAAAAACAAGCTCGATAGAGTAACGTGTATCTTTTGATTCTGACATCTTTATTCTGCTTTGCTGCTGCTTTACCCCCCTCCCTAAAAATACTCCTTTCCCTTCCCTACAGTAAAAGGGAGGCAAATCATTACAACCTAAATACTTGCTTAGGTTTATTCTACTTTGGCTGTTTTCATCAAGAATAGTGTCTTGAGAAAACTTGAGATTTGTGCAAAAAAAGATTCATTTGCTTCCATGATGTAAATATTTTTAGAAGCTCCGCACATGGTTGTATTGTAAAGTAAACATTGATGAGTGATTTTGACTCCGATTTTCTGCCATGTATTGGAGTTTCAAGGGTATTTGTTTGAGCTTTGAGACAATTTTGGGTAAAGAGTTTACAGTTAATTTCTCTCTTGATTTATCAGGTACCGAGTTTGAGGGTGCAGTCATAGCGCTCTTTCATTTACTGGCCACCAGGACAGATAAGGTCCGAGCTTTAAGGGAGGCCTTCTATCGTCAGAACTTACCCAATCTCATGAACCTCATTGCTACGGTTTTTGTGTTTGCCGTCGTTATATATTTTCAGGTACGTATACTTGCTTCACTGAAGTCAGAGGGATATGGATTTTTATTTTGCTTTCAAAGAAAAGAATTCCATTTGAAATGTCCGTATTTAACCAGTGTTACGGAATCTAGTCAAGCAAATGATTCTATTCCTTAGACTCTAAGGTGCGAGATATTAGTGGTGATGACACAGAACAGGAGTTCTGTGTGGAAGGAGAAATGCCAGTGTTGCTTCTCCCACTCCCCCTGTATTGTTCTGCTTGTCACCTGTGTTCATTACTTGAGATGTGCAGTTACTCTTACTTCCTCTTCATTTTCATTTTCTAGGGATTTCGTGTTGACTTGCCCATCAAGTCGGCCCGGTATCGAGGACAGTACAGTAGCTATCCCATCAAGCTCTTCTATACCTCGAACATTCCCATTATTCTACAGTCGGCCTTAGTGTCAAACCTGTATGTTATTTCCCAGATGCTGTCTGTTCGATTTAGTGGCAACTTTTTAGTAAATTTACTAGGACAGTGGGCTGTGAGTATTTTGTTATTTATTCTAAGCATTCAAATTTACTGTAATTTGCATTTCGTGGTTGTATTTTTAACTGAAAGAGATGAGCCATAATGGAAGCCGTTGCTGTAACATTTTCAGATTCACTTACTTGTAGCAGAGTTTATCATTCATTTAGAAAGATTGATAAATGTTGTAAAACTAAGGTGGGCCAGGTACTTTGTATTAATTTACTGTTGAGAGCATTTTCACATCTCATTTGAGGACCTTAAGGTTAAAATCACAGTGGTTCTCATGAAAGTGGTTCCCTGTTTTGGTATCTTATTCAGCTGTTGTCTAGAATATTTTTTTTAAAGAAGCTCTTTGCTGATTATATGTGGGGTGCTGAGATCTCCTGCTTTGCCCCCATTTTGCATGGCTCGAGTGGCAATAAACTAGTTGTGATTAACTGGGCTAGAGATAGGCATGTGATTACTAGACTGGAGAGAGAAGAGAGTTACTAGAAATAGAATCCAGCACTTTCTGACTTCCCTTTATAGATCCTGTCATCATAGCTTCTTCCAGAGCAGTCCAGCCACGTTGTTACTGAAGTGTGAGTTCTTGTCGGATTGAATTTTACCTGGTTTAAGTTCTGTCATATGACCCAGGAGCTATTTTTCCTCCTTAAAACCATAGAATTAAAAGAGACTATGATCCTTTATTCTTTTATAGAGTACATAATTGTACAACTTGAATTTCACCAGCTATTTTTTATAGTCCTTATTTCTGAAGTACAGTGTTTATTCTATGCATTTATCTTAATATGCTACCTGTTTCATTGTAAGTTACATGACCTAACTTTCTTCTACTAAAGGTCTTTTTTTTTTTTTTTTTTAAGAGGATAAGACAGTAACTCTTGAGTGTTAGTTGAAGGAAATAGGATTTCCTTTATCCATAGTACTCTTTATCCAATCATGTAACGGAAACATGACTACCTGTGATGAGGGAAGATGTGGTCCCTCCCCTCGTGAGCTAATAATCCATCAGTAATTATTACTGTAATAATTTCATAGCAATAAATGTGTTTTGTGGTCTTATGTAGGTTGTGTTGTGATCTTAACTAAGTTCCTTTTTAATGAGAATTACTGGAAATTGAATTATCTATAAATAATGCTCTTGATTGGGGATTAGTGATTCTGGGGGCACAGTAAATAAATGATACTGAAATGTATATTCAGGAACCAGACACTTTAATGATTGCAGCCAGAAACTGCTGTTCTATCCCTCCCACCCCAAAACTTACACTGTTCCTAGTTCTGTTACTGTAAAAATTCTTGAATGTTTATCTGGATAAAAATCCTATTTTAAATATTAAAAAATTACTTCTTATATAAACCTATAAAGTTTAGGCAGTGAGTTGTTAGTCATCTGTCAGTATTTCAGTTGATTGTATTCTTCATAGAATTTTTTGAAGTTAAAGAATATGTTTTGTACTCTTGTACAGTGCAGTTTCAGATTCTAAATGTAATCAGAGATTGACTGTAAATGTAATTACATTCCTGTCTTTAAGAAGAGAGGGAAGATTTTTTTGTAGGTGTGTTGTAATGTTGGCTTTTAAAAAATCACTCTTTTGTTAATACATTCACAGTGTCCTTTATATAATACATGCTCACTATACAATTTTGGAGGAGTGAAGACATTAGACACAAAAGTCAGTCTTTCTAAGTTACATGGAATCGTTAGCTGTAGGTGCTTTGAGCTTAAAGATTTGTAATTTTTGAGGAGTTTGAAAAGTCATAAAAATGTATCTTGACCACTTGGGTTCACCATCTATCCTTTTTATTCTTGTTCTGTAGGATGTTAGTGGGGGAGGACCTGCTCGTTCTTACCCTGTGGGAGGCCTTTGTTACTATCTTTCTCCTCCTGAGTCCATGGGCGCCATATTTGAGGATCCTGTCCATGTGGTTGTTTATATCATCTTCATGTTGGGATCATGTGCATTCTTTTCTAAGACATGGATAGAGGTGTCTGGTTCCTCTGCTAAAGATGTAAGTATTTGTTATATTTGAAAATAAATGTTTTTAATTTCAAAATGGTAATTGAAACACTCTTACTTTTGTAATTTAAACTTTTAAGTCATACTTTTTTTTTTTTTTGAAGATTTTATTTATTCATTCATGAGAGAGAGAGAGAGAGAGAGAGAGAGAGGCAGAGACACAGGCAGAGGGAGAAGCAGGCTCCCTGCAGGGAGCTGGACATGGAACTCCATCCTGGGTCTCCAGGATCAGGCCCTGGGCTGAAGGCGGCGCTAAACCACTGAGCCACCCGGGCTGCCCTAAGTCATACATTCTTAATAATGATCCCTAGAGGGTTAAAAACTGGTTTCTGGAAGGTGGAAAAATTCTTAAGAGTTTTACAATGGTTTGTAAAACCACCCTCCAAGGCTGAACCCTACCCAACAAACTCTTACTCCTTAGTATTTAATATCTGTTTAGGGAGGTGATAGATTAAAAAAAAAAGATTGAGAAACACTTGTTTAATGTGTGGGTACTAGGTGGTGTGCAGCCTTGAGCCTCAGGTGTAATGGAGAGGATAGGACAGTGCCTACCTCAGGGCTCTCGTATTTTATTTAGTAGTGTGTGGGAAGTACTTCACACAGAACCTGGTAGGTAGTAAAGTGAAATATTTATAGTTTGATTTTAAAAGTTGCTTTTTCTCTTGACAGGTAGCTAAGCAGCTTAAAGAACAGCAAATGGTAATGAGGGGCCACAGAGATACCTCCATGGTTCATGAGCTTAATAGGTAAGGTCATGAGATCTAATCTGTGTATGTGTGTGTATGTGTATAGTACAAATGTATTTGGTTTTTCAACCTTTAATTTATTGTCAAATGTTATCCTATTTGAACATGAAGCATTTTTCTTCTGCTTCACACAGAAGAACCAAAATTTAACAAAATACTGAATTGTTCTCTAAAATTGTTCTCCATCAAAATTGACATCTAAATGATTTTTAAAATTGAAGTTGTGTTCCCTTCACTGCTCAGCCCAGTATTAAAATATTCTTGAGTGGAGATCCTCGTTGTCTGGCTGCACATAAAATCACCTGGGAGCTTTCAAAAAGTACTGATACTCCACCTCTACAACTTGTGATTTATTTGGTCTTGGGTCAATCCTTCCATTAGTCTGTTTTTTGATAACAGCTCTACTGTGTTATAATTCATGCCATGTAACTCACTCATTTGAAGTATATGGTTTAGTGTTCTTTAGTATATTCAGAATGTGTAATCATTACAATGTAATTTTAAAAACATCTTTGTCACTGGAGCATCTGTTTGGCTCAGTCAAAAGAATGTGCAACTCTTGATCTTGGCGTTGTGAGTTTGAGCCCCACGTTGGGTCTATAGATTATTAAAACCATAACAACAACAAAAAAAAAACCTTAAAAAACAAACCAAAAACATTTTCATCACCCGGAGAGAAACCTTGTAACTCTTGGTTATTCCCCATTCCTATCGCACCTTCCCATCCCTGAGCCTACTTCTTACTTTTGATCTCTACAGATTTGCCTCTTCTGGACATTTCAGATAAATGGACTTGTCATCTTTTATAAATAGCTTTTTTCACTTAGCATAAAGTTTTCAGGGTTCATCCATTACTTACGAATAATACTCCATTAAATGGATGTACGACAGCACATTTGTTTATCCATTGATCAGTTGGTGGAGATTTTGGTTGTTTCCAGTTTCTATCAGGAATGATGCTGTTAAGGACGTACTTGTACATGTTTTGTGTGGACATATGTTTTCAGTCCTGCAGGAGTAGTTGGGTGGTACAGTGATGCTGGTTTAATGTGTTGAGGAAGCTACCAGACTCTCCTCCAGAGTGGCTGCACCGGTCTGCGTCCCACGAGCAGTGTGGCTCGCCGTTGCTGCGCGTCCTTGCACAGTTCCTGCTTTCTCATTACAGCCACTATGTGGGTATAAAGTGGGAGCTCACTGTGGTTTTGATTTGCTTTTCCCTGCTGAGTAATGACATTGGGTACTTTTTCATGTGTTTTATTAGCTATTTGTGAATCTTCTTTGGAGAAGAATGCGCAACTCTTGATCTCAGGGTCGTGAGTTTGAGCCCCAGTCTTTTCAGATCTTTTGCTCATTTTTAATTGTGTTGTCTTTTGTAAGGTTCAAAAAACAAATATTTTGGATAGACCCCTTCTCAGGTTTATGATTTATATTTTGTTGCCATTCTATGGGTTGTCTTTTTACTTTCTTGGTCTCTTTTGATGCACAAGTTACTAATTTTGATGAATTTCAGTTTCTCTTGGTTGCTTTGTGCTGCTTTGTTTATCTAAGAAACCATTGCCTCACCCGAAGTCATAAAGATTCATTCTTGTTTTCCATTACGAGTCTCGGCTCTTACATTCAAGTCTGTGATCTGCTCGCAGCAGTTTTTTTGTTTAGTGTGAGAAGGGTCCAGATATCTTTTTGTGCATGTGGATGTCCTGTTGTTCCAGAACCATTGCTTGAAAAGGCACTTGTATTTTTATGAAACTTTACTTATTTAGAACATAGATAGCAGAGTCGTAGAACGAACCTCCAGGTACCCAGCTCCAGCAGTTGGCCTCATTCTGCTCTTCCTGTTCATCCATCATCTCCCCCCCGGCTTTTTTTCCCTTCTTTTTTGGAGTATTTTAAATACAATCCCATTATTTTTAGCAGTGCTCCCGGTGATTCTAACATGCAGCCAAGACTGTGAAGAGGATCATCCACATCTTATCACATATAAATTTGATACTTAGAAAGCATTTTGGAATTTACTCTTCATCTACAAGACTGAGCTACAGATGACCTATTTAAAATAGTAAATATTTTCATCTTCAACCTGTCGAGGATTTTTTTTTCCTTTTCCTGTCGAGGATTCTAACCTCCTGCTATTTAAAAAACAAACAAACAAACAAAAAAAACAAAACAACAAAAAAATCCTGTATGGCTTCTCCGGGCTGTTTACTGGTTTCTGGAAACCAGCGGCCCGTCTCGGCCTGGTCAGTCCGCCCCGCGGCTGTGCGCGCGCCCCACCGACCAACGGCTCTGTGTTGCAGGTACATCCCCACGGCGGCAGCGTTCGGCGGCCTGTGCATCGGCGCCCTGTCCGTGTTGGCCGACTTCCTGGGGGCCATCGGCTCCGGCACTGGCATCCTGCTCGCCGTCACGATTATTTATCAGTATTTTGAAATTTTTGTCAAGGAACAGGCTGAAGTCGGTGGGATGGGTGCTTTGTTTTTCTAAATGTTCCAATATTTCTTCTTGTGTGTGTGAAAGGGAGAAGAATTTTGGCACATTGTTTTTTGTCCAATAACGCGATTCCCCTTTTCTTCCCTCAGTTTCTTGTTTCCCAGTGCTCACCGTCCCATTTGTGCAATGGGCCCCGAGCTAAGCCTGTGTGCAGCATTAGTACCAGCTGCCTTAAAACTAAAGTTTACAGTATTCATTCACAAACGTACTTGTAGTGTCGCCCGTGATGCTGGAAACCAGTGTTCCTGCCTTGCCCTGTTCAGCCGTGCCGGTGAGATGGTGACGTGGATCAGTTTTGCACACAACATTCAGAACACTCACTATTCCCCCCACTTGTTTAAAAATAAATGTAGTTCAAATTGCCACTTTCCAGTATTTTTGAGCTTATTTAATGAGTTCTGGAACATTTCTATCTAATCTGTATTTTAGATATAATTAACTTTTTATACTTTTTTAACTCCTTGTATCCACGTTCCCACCCTCCCTCTCCGTCCACTCCCCTGACTGGTCCCCTCTCAGCTGCCACTCCGCCCACGTGGGCAACATCGAGCTTCAGTTCCAGCTGTTCAGGAACAACTGCTTGTGTGTGGTCCCCCCCCCCCCCCCCGGCCCCATTTTCATTCCTTTCTTCCCAGTGACAGCAGTCCATGCTGTTTTACTGTATTGGCTATGCCTTTGAATTCCAACACATCGACACATCACTGGAGAACACACTTTCCAGATCTGATGGCCCAGTTTTTTGTTTGTTTTTTTTTTAATCCCTAAAGCAAAGATCTAATTCTCAAGCAATGTCTGTAGTTCAGTGGGGGTGAACAATGAGTAATTCATGCTAGCAATTTGTGTATGTTGTTGTACTTTACAGCAGCAACATGAGTGTCAATAGTAGAAAATAAACTTTTATTTAATAAAATTGTTTCAGTTTGTGTTGGAAAAATAAAATCGGATACTAAATGATTTCTAAGATTATAGGTTCATCTAATCATACAAAACCCATCCTGAGAGGTCTGTGGTCACAGGTCCAATGGAATTACAGTTTTGGGTTTGATCCTGAAATTGCTCAGGAACAGGGACCAACTTAAAAGCTGCTCAGTTATGCAATGGACACTGAAAAGAACAGGAAAACTGTCTCAGATAACATCCAGCCTCCGTCTGAAACAGCAGAAAGTTTGTGCCCAGTGTCCACAGAAACCAAACTTAATCTTTGAAGTTCCTTTTCAGAAGTAAAGGTTTCCAGTGTTTCCTTTCTTAGCGCAGGAAGTAGATCTTACTCAGGTCAGGATCACAACCCAACGATGACGACAGGTGGGCAGATGCGGTAGCGGCCAGCAGGACAGGACAGTGGTCACCAGCAGGACATCGCAGGGCTTCGGGCCACTGTTACCATAGACACATGGATCCAGTGGCATTAGGATAGATGCATACATTTTTTTTCCCCCAAGAGAAGGTAGAAACAAAGTTTCTTATAGGAAACCTTTCAACTTTTAAATGCTGATAAGTTAACAGGGCCAGCCCAGGGAAACCTCCAAACTGCCAGCTCTCAAACTGCCCAAGTACAGCCTTTGATGTTGAAAGGTTAATATAAGTGGCTTTGGGGGTCCGTTCTACAATTGAGCGGTCACTTCTAACTTGCACTCTTAGGGGGAGAAATGGGCAGAAAGGACAGGTAGGGGTTATGAAGACCTCCCCTGCACCAACATTTAAGAGTCAGTTCCTCAACTCCTGTGCGGAGCGGCTTTGGAAGAGCTAGTCTGGAGACTGTGCCTGAGTCTGTATATTTCCCACCGCCTTCCGTGTCTCGACTGTGAAGGAGGGCAGTAACAAGGGAGATTAGAGAAGTCGGTCTTTGGAGAGCTCAGGGAGGAGGAGTAAGATCTCTGGAGAATCATGATGCCCATGATTAAAAACAGGATTTTTTTTTTCTTTTTTAAAGGGTTAGGGGCACAGGGGAAGGCTACTATTAGAGCAAGTGGTTGGCTACCAATATTTGCAATATTTAAAGTAGACCTGATCTAGACAGTTCTCCAGTTCCAAACACAGCTTCCCCCTTTGTCTCGGAAGTCTAATAGATGTTGTATTTTTGCTCACAAAAACACCTGTGGATACAGAGATGAAAACAGTGATACACACTGAATACACAGTGACCCTGTAGACAAATGAACTGTAGTACAGCATTTTTGGCATTAGCATCCTGGTTTTACGTGGTTCGAAGAGCCTAAAGCCAGGGCTGGACAAAGGACTTTGGGCTGGCCATGGAGCATCACCCTGAGACTTCCGCTGGGTGCTCACCTGCAGGGTGATAGTTCTGGAGCTGCTGGAGACCACAGAAGTCAACATGGGCCGAGCTCAGCCAAAAGATGTGAAAATGGCCCAGGACACTGGGAGACCTTCCGGATGACCAGGCTTTAGGCATGGCAGGAAGTGGAAACAGTGCCCTCCTGTCCTCCACTCTAAGGTGGTTGTATTGGGTTTCTGGAACTTGCTGGCTACATTCATGGTTTAAAACCAAGACAGTGATGCCCCCCACCCGCAGCCATGTAAATGGATCTGGTATTAGGAACTTCAAGTACTTTCTCAGGTAAGGATAGGAAATGAAATTCTAAAGCATATACACCTGCTTGAGAGAAGGGCCCTGTATATTCATTGGCTTCTTAACCTCGTTACAGTGAACTGTTTTCCATTGCTGAAGCGTTTGTTAACCTTTAGTATGTGGGTGGGCAGGAGGACGTTGGCCAAATGTAAACATCTGCTTCTCATAGATGTTGTTCTATGTTGACTTTACACTCTGCTATGCAAGGATGTGTATTAATTCCATATAGAAGATAATTAGGAACAACAGCAAAATCCCTACATAGGTCTTTAAAAAAAAATCTTTGTTTAAACATTAATGTAGTAATAAGCAGTTATTTGCATTCCTAGTTGAAGTTTCAGCTGAGGCTGAGAGCAGCTGACCCAATTTGGAATTCAGGTCATTTTTCCTCTAGAAATACTTCTCTATCTGTCGGACTAGATTAGATAAGTAACAGCTGAGCTTTAAAAAAAAAAAGAAAGAAACTGGATTAAAAACTGGGTATCTGCATTTATGTTCTTTCTCAATATTTGCCAGAATTTAGCACTTAAATGAAGACTACAGCCTACCTGTAATCACAATTCCATATCACCACATGTATTCTGCGTTGGCTTTTATTTAATGAAAAAACCTAATTTCAAATCTACATTAAGCTAAGCTGAATACAAAGTCTTAGTGAAGGAGGCCTGGTGGTCTTGTTTATAAAAACATGGCTACTGTCCTCTGGCCTTAAAACTTCAGGAAAGGCACTTCAAATGGCTTCGTGTTTGCATGCTTCAGTGCCAGAGCATAGGAATAGACCCTGGCGTCCACTGTCAGATGTTCTTCAGCTACCAGAGCTGGAGGAAATAAAGAACACAAGTTAGATAATGAAGGGTGTCAGGGATCATACTACCCCCTGATCAGTCATCAGTCTGGATGCTGGAGACAGAGTGGTGACTGAGACACCTTCTACCTTCAAGGGTCTTAACTCTAATAAGACAGAAGAAGAAAAGATACATAAGCAGGATTACGTTTCCAACAAAAGAACAAGAAAGCAAGCAAAGATCACACACATCAGAGATGATGCTTACAGCACAGCTCTAAGCTCACAGATCAAGGGTTAACTTCATTTATAGCCCCTCTAGGTGCTTCTTCAGTCCCTCACTGAGGGAGTCCCTGGGTCTCCTCCACTGCCGGGGAATACGTGTTTTCCATGCACATGTCACGTCGTATGCCTGTCAGGACTGGAATTCTAGCAGCAGTGGGGTCTCGGAACCTTCCACTGTACAGCGAGCTTTAACAGGAACTGTTTTGCTCAGGGGGGAGGTTATCAGACTGGGGCTCCTGTCACGTGTTTTCCTAGCCACTAGTTTAGGTTCACACTCAGAGACATGACCCTGGAAGGCAGGGTGAGGTCCTCTGTACATGGCAGGTGCCTGTAAGTGTGGAAAGCTATTCCTCGTAGCAAATTAATCCCAAAATACCTTCTCAAATAGTACTTGCTAAAGAAATGGTTTATTATATTCTGATTCTAAAAGGGTTCAATTCCCCCTTCCTCCTTCTATGGATCTGCCCTTTCCACCTTCCTCCTTCCCTCGCTGTCTTCCCCTCTTCTGAGGCTAGACGTTACGCTCGATGGAAGCGAGAAGGAAGATCTTGGAGAGGATACTTCTCTAATATAAAAACATAGTCAAGACGTACAGCATCTAACATTTAAGCCCCTTAGTGCTAACATCTCGTTTGACTCCTGCCTCCTCAGGGACAGGGCCTCTTGCTCCTGTTTTAGGAGACGAGCCGGGAGAGGCCGTGGACCGTGTTCCAGTTGGTGACGGAAACACGGCCCGCTGAGCCTCAGACCCAGGCAGACCCGACGCTTGGAGCCGTGCTGTCTGTTCTCGCAGCCACAGCTTTCTCTGGATAAACCACAGCTTGCTTCCGTGCGAGCGCTTCTAACTCAGACCCCAAGGTGCTCTTTACCTTACGTGTAGGTTTTAAGACGGCAAAGGAGGAAGGGAACTTTCTGGGAATTCTGAAACCCCAGTCCTTTTTGCAAGCTCATACTTTTAAAGCAACACGGCATCGGAAATAGAACTGTTAAGCCACTGGTTCTTAGGGAAGGGGCAGAAGAGATGGCCCTCAATGCCTCAGGTCAAATAGTGCTTCAAGTTACTTTTCGAAGTAAAAATTGTAAAACATCCAAATTACAAAGATGATCTGTTCTTTTACAAGTGAGTGAATGGGGCCCTACTGGCCCCACCGAGGAGCTCCCTGCAGGGCTTCTCTCCGTCCTTTCATTAAAGGACATTTGTCTACATAATCTTATTTATTTTTTTACCAAATCCCGTGTAATTACACGACGTCGTGTAATTACACGACGTAATTACCTGACCAGTGATTTACCAGGGGTCACACTGCCAGTTTGGTTCATTATATCAGCATATTGCTCTTCATCTACCTTAGTCTTTGTAGAAGGAATATTGTTATATTCTCCTCTAATTTCTGCCCTGCGCGAAGCCATCCAGCAGGCTGGCATTGTTGAGCATCAGCTAGGAGATACCAACTTATTAGGTCTCTGCATTGCCACGGATTACAGATTTGAGGTAGAGAGCTTTTGGCAGATCTGCAGGAATGTGATCTTGACTATTCCATAGGGAAAAAACCTAACCCTACTGAACGTTTTCACTTGACATAGAATATTTTGCTTGTATTTTCAAACTCTGCTACCCAGAAAGGAAAATTATTGTTGGTTAACTGCAGTTGTACCCCAGTCTCTAGGTGTCTGACTTTAACAAGAATATAATGACAGAAATGGAATTCCAGTAAGTGCCCCACCAGATGGGGTTGGGGATGGGGAAAATCAAAGAAGTTGGGGAATAGTCTTAAGAATGCTTACCATCAAGTCTCTTCAGCAGGTCATTCTTTGGTAAGGAAATTACTTCGACAAATTCTAAACAAACAAAGTGCGAGTGAAAACAAAGCTGAAGAAGGAGAGGGCCTACCAGAACACCACAAAATGCCTGCTGCCATTTCCACTGCGCTGAGCCATACACATGGTCAGCCACTGCTAGCTGGGTAACGTACCTCCGTCTCCTGAAAACAAACAGAAGGAGAACACTGGAGCGCACTGCGGTCAAACACCAGGAGGCTTTTGTGCGAGACATCCCAAAATGGGCATAAAACTTCCACAGAACCCTGGGTCTCCTAATTTAATCTGTGTGCATGGTGGTGAAAAGCATTCCAACAGCACAAAATTATTATTGTTCTCCAAATCAGATGTGTACTGGCAAAATTTAAAGACTGTTCTAGGATATATACGTATGTATTTTTAAGCTGTTAAAATACACAGAAAATTCACCATTTTAACCACTTTAAAAGGTCTAGTTCAGTGGCATTAAATACATTCACACTGCTCTGCAGTCCTAAGCCCTGTCCTTCTCTAGAACTTTTTCACAGAGAAAAGGCACCCAGTGAACAGTTCACTTGGCACCCAGTGAACAGTCCCCAGACACGCTGACCTCTCGTCTACTTTGTCTCTGTGACCATATGAGTTTTAGGTAGCAATATTTATGCTTAAAACTTTTTCCCCTTTTTTAAAAGTGAGCTGTATGCCCAGTGTGGGACCCAAACTCGTGACCCCAAGATCAAGAATCACGTGCTCTACTGACTGAGGCAGCCAGGCGACCCTATTTATGCTTTTTGGTCTAAACACTTGGCATGACGCTTTCGGAATTCCTGCTGTCACAGCATGTGCCAGCAGGTCTCCTTAATGGCCGGTGTTCCACTGTGCATGTACACTGCGCTTTGTTTATCCATTCATCTGTGAACTGGGTGGTTCCCCCCCTGTTTTGGGTGCCGTGAGTGATGCTTTATAAATGCTGGTGTCAAGTGCCTGTTGGAGCCCTTGCTCTTTGGGTGTAAACCCACGAGTGGAACTGCAGGCTCGTGGTAATTCCGGTCAGCGCTGAGGACTGCCAACTCTTGCACTGTGTATCATACACGTATCTGCAACGTGAACGCTGAGCATTTACAATCAGCTGTGAGGTGGCCTGGAATATTCAGGAGCACCCGAGGTGGTGAGAAGTGGCAGCGTGTGGCGGCACTACATGACTGGTGTGTGCGTGAGCACTGCCTTCAGCAGGGTGGGAGGCCACCTAGGACGGCCAGAGGCATCAAAGCTCAAGTCCAAACTTGCAGAGAAATGTAATAGCAAGGAATTTCCAAAACATTTCTCTAAGTATGGAACTCTGTGAAGAATAGTCAGCCGCTGTCCTCTAACAATTATTTCTACCATTCTTACCATACACACGAAGTCCGAAATCAGCGATTTTGAAGATTTTCACAATTTACTGCTCAGACCTGTGGCTCATGTTAAGTGGGAATAAACTCCACATAGCAAATAATGGAAATACTGCAATTTAACATTTTATAAAGAAAGCATAAAGATCAGTAGGTGCTGAAAGAAAAAGGCTAAAGGACCCAAGATTAGGAAAAGAGCCTGGAGTACTGATGAAGTATCTACAAGCCTGTTATTCTTCTGACCAGTCAGAGACTGAATCAGTAGCAAGTTGAACAATATTTAACCCAATAGAACCACGTTCCACGGAGCCACTGCACACTCACCTGGCTTTGGTTTAGGTCTCACATTTTCAGCATCATCTCCGTTAATAGTTACTGTCACGATGTGTGTGGTACAGTTTGTCAAGCCTGGATCCATACACACAGCTACGGAGAGAAGCAACAGATCATAGTGACACACACCAGTCATGTACCATTTGTTTCATTACTTCAATGTCTTTGGGAGAAAACTGGGCTCATAATTCATAGCGGACACAGAACCTGTGCAGGATAATGGATGGTTGGCCCGGTTTGCTCAGCACAGCTGTAGGACTACAGAGCACAGGTGTAGACAGCACTCGTACTTTCCCCCTGAGGTCCTAAGTTTGGTAAGTCTGAGGGGTTAAGTCTCAGGGGTAAAGACGGTACTGCCATGCTGTCAACTCCTTTCACCACTTGAAGAAAAAGATTCCAGTGAGGAGCTTGGCATGTGGATGAGCTAAGAAAGCATAAAGCTCAGGATGTGGGAAACTCTGAAAGGTAACAAATTTCACATTTCTTGTCCAGCTTTAGGGCCTTCTTGTTCACACTGGCTCTCCTGCGGATGGGAGGCTCACTCGTAGATGGTGACCACATCTACTTAGGATTTCCCTTCAGTCAATTAACCAAGACAAAAGCCATCTGCATCCTGAGCATAAAGAACAGCCCAACAGTCCTTTGCACACACAAGAATCTACCACTTGACCAATGTTCAAGAGCCTATCCCTGAGTGCACACCTGGGTAGCAGTACACACCTGGAGAGCACTCTGCGACATCACCTTTATAGCCAGTTTCTTCCTCAAGCTCCCGAAGAGCGGCTGCTTCTGGGCTCTCGTTGTCATCGATGAGACCTAGAAGTCCAAGTCATTTGTGAGGTGGGCTAGGGAAACCCTGGTTTTTGGAACCTCTCCTTCTTCTGATATAATTGCTGTTTAGCTACATGGGAAGAATCAGAGGACTGTGAAAAGTGGCTGGATGGGTAAAAGAGACTGAGGAACTTTTATAAGAAACAAAGGCCAAAGAATAAAATGCTACGCAGATTGAGTAGGTTCCATGAGCTGCCACCTGTTCCTCTTGTTTAGACCTCGACTGTTTTCATGAGCCGCTCAGCACTGTGTTGTTCTGCAGCTCAGACAGTGCGGATTCCCGCAAGGATGAGTGGCTGGGCTGTGTCACTGGCATAGGTTACAGACCCAGATATGTGACCTGGCCCACGAAGCCTGGCACACTTCAGTTTCTTCACCCAACAGTGTCTCCTAATTTGCTTCCCCCCTCACAGAGCAATCCTGAGGCCTGGAGAGAAACGCCAGCATGAGCATCACCTGCGAGGGGGAAGGATGGGAGGCTGACAGGCTGCAGGCAGCTGCTGTGCTTGGGGAAGCAGTAACTAGAGAGGCCATGGGGGGAAGACAGCAGAGCTTGGGTTATTTTACCTAAAAGGAAATAACACAAAGAAAAAGTAAAATAGAGACTATTCTATTACTTTTTAAGTTATTAATTTCTCCAGTGAAATGTCTGGTAAATGAGAAGTTGGTATGGGTACCATGGGGCTGGACTTTGAAAGTACAAAACCTACACCACTAATGATAAGTAAATGAGATGTGATTTCTTCAGATGCGAACGACCCAGTTAAGTCCTATGATGACACAAGAGCTCAAATTCAGGATAGCTCTACTTAATTGTGCAACTCAAGAGAATATTCTAGTGGAAATTAATACAGTTTCCTTGGCCTGTGTACATACAGGACAATCAAACTCATAGTGTTTGGAGTTAGGAGTCTGGCCTAGGTTACTACTGTAAATTTTTTATCAGAGGCAGATTGCTAGTGACAGAAAATGAATTCAGCTGACAAATTAGCAAAAAGCAATTACTCAGAAAGAAGCTAGAAAGAATGCTGCTGAGCGGTGGCTTGGAAAGGTGGGCTGGGACAGGGACACCACTCCTGCCTCGCCTCTCAGGCTTAGTGTGTCACTAGAATATGACCGGTGGTGCCTCACTGCAAATATGCTTTTGTTGTACTTAAAACTGGGGGAGGGGGGCAGCCAAGGTGTTCAGTGTCCAAGCGCTGCAGTTCTCAGCACAGGAACTCACCTGCGGGGAATTCTAGGCAATAGCCTCCCATCGGTGGTCGGAACTGCTTCACCAGAACGATGCACTCGTAATGAAGAGTCCGCTGCAGCACCGGGATGACTGCCACACCTGTGACCAGGAAATAAAACCAAGGAAATCCCTAATTAAACGTCCGTGAACATTTAGTACAAGGTCAAGGACAAATTACCTCTTCACGCTAACCTCTGCAGAGACAAACGTCTCACCCTGCAGCAAGCCAGACTGCTGATGAAGTGACCCTGGTTTACATGCACTCATGTTTCCTTTAAGGAGTGAATCAAGTCAGGACTGCAGTTTGTGGAATATGTAGCTAGACTGGATTTGATTGTCCTAGGATCAAGGACCTTTTCTCCCAAGAAACCTTTTACGTTGCCTTAAAACAGAGACAAAACCCCACTGCGTTCTGGAACACACAAATTGCCTACGAGGAACTCTTGGCTAACCCCTCGCCCCTGACTTTCTTGGCAGGCAAGACAGCAGCTGTGGCCAGCTACTGTTTACTTCCAGTAAAAACAGACAACAAAATGAAAAGGAAGCGTGAAAGGGAAAAACAAAGACCTACTGCCCAACTTCCCTTCGACCAGAGGTGATTTTCAATCTTTGTAGTCAAGCATTTATGCCTGGGAGGGACAGTGAGATAAATGAATAGAATAATCTTTGCCTAATTCCATGGTCCTCACCAATTTATAAAGCAACTGGTCCATCATAAAGTAGGGCCAAGTATTTTTCCAAATTAAAGGCTCTCACCCAGGTCCTTTGAACAGAATACAAAGTATTTCTAGAAGTCATAGTTAGACACAGTATGTGGCTTCAAAATAAACTGACTTGTATTTGGCTATAAATATTAGTATACCTTATCTCCCAAAACACTGTCCTGAGCCGTGATAACAAGCCAGAAGTTATTTATCAAGAAAGCCTGACTGGGATGCCTGGGTGGTGCATGTGGTTAAACATCCAACTCTTGGTTTTGGCTCAGGTCATGATTTCAGGGTTGTGAGATCGAGCCCCAGGTCAGCAAAGAGTTTGCTTAAACTCACTCTCCCTCTGCCCCAGCCACCCTGTGCTCACGAGGGCTCTCTGATAAATCTTTAAATTAAAAAAGAAAAGAAAGCAAGCCTGATTTAGTCACATAGCATTGCAAAAAGGAAAAGTAGGTTTAAAGATAAAAGGTCATAGTTGAAGAGAACTGCTCTGAGGTCTTGGTTAAAATACAAAGAAGCCCGCCTCCTGCCAATAATGCATGGTGACTTCCTTCATGAAGAGCTGTAATGAGTTTGCACTCCTACCATCAGCCGACTGTCCTTTCCTGGTTGTACGTTTCACAGTTTCCCAAGTTCTGTTCAGGCAGAGAAGAAAAAACAAAATTGTTAGTATTACAGGGGAGAATGTTCTTGGATTTTCTGTCCACAGCCAGAACTTTCGGATGCAAAGCAAGCAAGTGTACTATTGATAATGGTCAAGACCACAACCATACAAGTCTATAGGAAAAGCCAACCGTGCTTTCCTGCAGCTTCTGAAAATTTTTCCAAATAAAACATGCCATCCTTCATCTAACTCTGAGGAATATCTAAAGAGAAGGCCTGTAGTTTGCTTGAACTGCCTTTCAAATCACTCACTGGAAATATTTCAGTGTGGATCATAAATCTACAGGTGAGCAGTCAGTTAAGCCATGAAGCTACTGAACAGTCAGTGCAGATTACGCCTCTATGAAAAGTCCAGCCTTTTTGTTAAAAACAAAAAATATTCAGCATAACATGAACTACTGAGATGTTATTGATATGTGACCTAAAACAACAATTTTAAGAAAGCAGAACCATTCCATTTATTAATTGAGGAATTATTAAATTTAGGCTAAGTGCTCTCTTTTGCATGTGTGAGATCTGTCTTACCTAAGGGGAAGATCATCCACAGAGGAAAAAGTTAGATAAGTAACAGCAAGTTCCTGCTCCCTTTTATATAGCTCCAGCCTGATTAGCTGTTTCTTTCTGGGAAATCCAGTTCTGGGTACAATTGTGTTTGAAGGGGAAGGGCATGTGAGGGAAATTTCCCTTCACTCTCTTATGCCTTAAACAGAAAGGCGGGGATCCCTGGGTGGCTCAACGGTTTAGCGCCTGCCTTTGGCCCAGGGCACAATTCTGGAGTCCCGGGATCGAGTCCCGCGTTGGGCTCCCGGCATGAAGCCTGCTTCTCCCTCCTGTGTCTCTGCCTCTCTCCCTCTCTCTATCAAAAATAAATAAATAAATAAATAAATAAATAAATAAATAAATAAATAAATAAATAAACAAACAAACAAATAAATCTTTTAAAAAAAAAACAGAAAGGATCAGTGATAAGAGATGGGAATGAAGAAGCAAATCAACTTTGGATCTAAGAGAAGCAGGACATCCAAGTGGTGCTGGGGACTAGCATAGAAAAGCATCAACATTGGTCTCCCCACAGAAGAGTGGGTATGAGGAGATGGGCTGCCCAGAAGGGTCCTCGCACTTTTGACCTCCTTGTCCTTAAGGGTCAGACTGTGCCACATTTCTATGGAAAAAAATCCAGGTATTTAGTTAAAAAACAAAACAAAACCTTTCTATAAACTGTAAATCTTTAAGCATTCCACCAAAATTCTAATGGCAAATGTGTCAAAATGAACCTATGAAAACCAAAGACTATTATGATAACTCACAACTGCCCAACATTCCTGTTAGTAACAAGAAGCCAACCAACAAGCAATTCTGATCAGTAAATAATACAGATTGCAAGAGACAAAACACCTTTTGGCATAGCTCTCTCTGCTGCCTCTTAAGGTTAGTTGTAAAGACTGAAGAAGACAGTGCTGGGAGCAGCACTGAAGATGTCAACCCAAATACACTAGGAAAAGGGAAACAAAAAGAATAGCATCATTATAGTGGTTAAGATGAAGGAAAATAATCAGTAATGAGCCATAAATCACGAGCAAGGACACATAAATGCATTTATAAGGAATCCTAGACCAGGAATGCCTGAGAGCTCCAATAATCTTCAAGCGACTCTGCAAAATGGACATTTGATTGAGCCAGAAAATCTTAATCTCTATCCGCCTGCCAGCTAACCCCATACCTACAAACTCCTTGAGTGTGTTCCTATTTGTAAAACTAGGTAATTAACAGTATGTTATTTCAAAAGCTTCTTATAGCTTTAAAATTCTGATTCTAGTTAAGCTCCTCCATTTTTTGAGTCCTTGTTCTAGGAAAGCCTGTTTTTGTATAACATACTGTAAGCCTAGTCAACAAACACGAGAGACAGGAATGCAACAAAGGATGACTGTGGCTCTGTCCTGAATGTCTATAAAGGCACATATTGCCGGCAATATTCACACAACTAAAATCAATTCCATATCTTTATCCATGAATAACATGGTGGGACAAAGATTTTCTAGCTGCTATTTCATTACTGACATGCTTACATACTGGATAATGGATAAAACTAAGTTTATACATCAGGACCTATGGTAGGGAAGTACAGAGATTCACTCTTCAAAGCCTGACATTCTGGTATGAAATGCCAACATATTATGGAAGAGCACCTTGAAGTCTCGGGGAAGACCTCCACGTGCAAGAACGGAGGTGAACATGCTATAAACGGTCACATGAGTGCAGGGTATTTGGTAGGCTTAAGGGTGTACCCCTCAACTATTGAGACAGACACCCTGGGGGTGAGACCTGGATGAGAGTATTTTGGGGGCAGGTGGGAAGGAAGCCTCCAGAGGATTCTGATGCACATCTCTGATTAAGAAATGCTGAAAGAGGAAGAGGAGTCAGGTAGAGAGATGAGTTGGTGTAAACCAACACCTACTCTTTAGCTCAATTAACGTTAAGAGTCATATCTGTGTTACAAACTTAAACAACTTCATTGGGAAAAGAGCCAAACCATCTCACTACAAATTGAGTTCTAATCAGTCTACATTTTCACAAATACAAGTGTATTTGAGCATACTGTGTTCCTAAAGGCTCAGGCTGGCCACATTTCTGTAGCCACTAGTTATTGTCTATTTAGTTCTGTACATCAAACTCATGTCAAGTGTTCTACTGGACACTTTTACTGTTGGACTGTGGTGTGTTCTGCTTTCTCATTTTGAAGTTTTAATTTAATAGTGCAATGGATAGCCCATTGTTTCCCCCAGCTCTCCAACACTGGCCCTTATTAATATCTTTGCTAGTTTAGTAAATGTAATTAAAGTGGTTTCAGGGATACCTTGGTGGCTCAGTGATTGAGCCTTTGGCTCAGGGTGCGATTTCCAAGGTTTTGAGATCGAGTCCCACACTGGGCTCCCCTTACGGAGCCTGCTTCTCCTTCTCCCTATGTCTCTACCTCTCTCTGTGTGTCTCTCATGAATAAATAAAATCTTAAAAAAAAATACAGTGGTTTCAGTTACTGGCAACTCTGTGTACTTTCACAGGGATGATAAGATGTATTTCCTCAAGAAGAAACTCTGTATCCTTACCTGATTACTTAGCAAAAGGAAAAGGTTTACCACACAACTGCCATTAATATTTTGCCCGTTTCCCTTCTAGCCTTTTCTTACATATTATTTGGAAAGAATTTAAAAGACATATATACAATATCCAATGTTGTTATCAATTTAATCCCTTGTCTCATATTGCTAGATTGTCTTTAGGATCAGCTTTGTAGAGAACTACAGAGATTTTACCAAATGAATACACTAAAAAATGACTTCTCCATTTTTAAGTTGAAGAATACTTGATACACAATATTGTATCTGAGGTGTACAACACAGTGACTCAATAATTGTACACATTACAAAATGGCCACGACAGTAAGTGTAGTCCCCATACAAAGTTGTTGCAATATCACTTTCCATATTCCCTCATACACTTTTATTATATTACATTGTAACAATTGTTTCCCAGTTTTAAAAATGGTTACGGTTCTTTCAATTTGTTTTTTGTCTTTTTAAATTTTGATGAACATTTTTTCATGCACAAATCTGACTCCAAACAGTCTCTGGAGTGGGATTATTTAGGTTGGAGAGTGTCTTATCTTTATGGCAATTGGTTACTGTGAAATGTTTTGCAAAACTTTTTTCCCCCCAATTCACATTTGCATAAGCAAGGTTTAAAGGATGTAAATTTTACCTCAAACCAGGCACTATTCTCTCCTTAGGCCTTCTAATTTACAGATTTAAAACTGGTGTCACCAGAAGGAGGCAGCTGGGACTGTTAATTATTCTACTGCTTTATCAGCTTAAATGAGGCTTGGCCCAAAATTTCTGGTTCATTCAAATCTCCTCAGGGAGAATGGTGTTAAGATCAATTCCTGATTTGTTGCTATAACAAATTGACAACGTAATTTTATCCAGAGATTATAAGCAATCCAAACATTCTGACAATGGGAAGACACTGGATTAGAGTTTTCATTTAAGATCAAGTTTACAATGAGGAAGCTATCAGAGTTTATGCCAAATGCTAAACAGTGACCCTGAGAATCCAAATACCAAGCATTTTACAAAATGGAAAAAACAATTTACCTTATTTTACCAGTAGGATCCATGTATGTTGTTTTTTCAAGCTTGACCCATTTTCCTTCTGAAATTAACTAAAAGGAGACATTAAGTTGGGAGACTTTCAAACTGAGGATTTTATTTAGAAGGTTTGTTTTCTTTCAGATTTTCTCTGCCTGGCCCTCCCAGTAATGACGTTTCCCTCCCAATAGTCTGTGTGCAGGTTTTCAGTTCAATGTAAGGAAAGGGTTTTTTTTTTTTTTTTTCTTTTTTCCCTGAAGGGTGGTTCTGCTGCTTTCTGCAGTTTTGGACGTGATACTGAGAAGTGAAAAGTGATGATAATTGAAAAACTCTTGAGGTGGTGGGTAGGAGGGTGGAGAGTGAGGACCGAGGAATGAGGATTTTTCTGGGACCTAGTGTTCTACCCTCGGAGCTGGGAGCTCGTCACACAGGTGTGTTTAGCAGGTAGAGACTCATGGAAAGACACCATGTCCAATGACTGCATTTCCAGGGACACATGGGTTTCCCACCCCATTTGAGACAAGTGGCCCAGGATCGTTCCGCCTAGACACTGAGTTTCAGTTACCAGAACTAACTTACCTATGTCACTATACTGAACTGACAGGAGAGTTTCACTGTGGACATAGAGCAGTAGCCTTTTTCTTACTATCCTATCTTTCACTTCTGGCCAGCAGCAACCTAAAAATTACCAGCAGATCTATTCACAGACCACATGAAAAGATTTTTAAATCGTAAATAACTGCAGGAAGGTGTCAAGATCAGAGTTCCAAGATGAAAGATTTAAAATTTATCCACTGCAATGGTTCCTGCAGAAAGAGACTTATTAAAAGCTAAACCAAATAACAATGTAACTAACACATACATTAGTTCTGGAATTCTGACAACTAACAACTTAGATTCTTATTGTTCTTAAACATCTATATCAAGACCATAAATAGCTAAGATATGATACTTAAGTATGTAATGTCTAAAATTCTAAAACTCAAGAATAGGACTTATTCTTCTACCCAGGGAAACTCTGAATAAAATTTGAGTATTTTTGAATTGCCAAAATCCACTTTAGAAACAGCCTCCATTTCATTAGCACATATAATTAAGAGCAACACTGTTCCTCCCACACAAGAGCAAAATGTCCTAAAAAGGGAGCAGGAATAATGTTTAAAAATTGTCTTTACAGGACAGCCCAGGTGGCTCAGCGGTTTAGCGCTGCCTTCAGTCCGGGGCCTGATCCTAGAGACCCAGGATTGAGTCCCGTGTCGGGCTCCCTGCATGGAGACTGCTTCTCCCTCTGCCTGTGTCTCTGCCTCTCTCTCTCTCTCTCTCTGTCATGAATAAATAAATAAAATCTTTAAAAAAAAAAGGTCTTTATGAATTAAATACAAAAAAAGAAAAGAATTAAACATAAGCATCTGAAACCACAGTTTATACATTTCATTTAAACTCAGCTCTCTGTGGGGAGAGGGAAGGGAACTGAAAAAGAACTTATACCTCCTCTGAGATAATAGACTGTTTGGTATTTTGAGAAGGATCCGCTGGTTCTCGGTTTTCCATTTTCAAAGTAGTCTTTATAGTCTTCAAGCACGAAGTTCACGCTGTAAGATAACAAGATTTGTTTAGGCTACGTTTATTTTTCTGAATTAAACATTTGTCCAAAGGCCACTGGTCAAAGTACTTAAATGATGAAAAACTTATCTGTCATCGAAGCTGCTTTTGTCATGTGAACCTGGAAAACCTGCCCTAGACGGAACTTAAAAGCCAAGGTCCTAGGAAAACATCCAGGAAAGAACCTATCGCAGTTAGATTTAGCCCAAGTTAGCTAAGCTCCTACTGGGCAGGGCACTAGGCACTTACATTAGACACTTTTGGATTTTCTGATTTAAAAACTTTCCAAGGAGAAAATAGAAAAATTGTATACCACTCCTCATTCTCATACCTTAACTACTGACCCTTATCTATCTTCTACAGCTAAACTGTAGGAGTGGTTTGAGCTGGCTGTTTCTACCTCTTATAACTTTTTTTTTTTACCTTGTGATAAATGAATACACCATTTTAATAATTTCAAAATGTGCAAATCAGCAGAATTAAACACATTCATATTGTAGTTGCTCACTCACTTTAAAGTTTGTCTTTTAAAGATTTCATTTATTTTTTCAGGAGAGACCCAGGGAGAGAGGCAGAGACACAGGCAAAGGGAGAAGCAGGCTCCATGAAGGGAGCCTGATGCGGGACTTGATCCCAGGACCCTGGGATCCTGACCTGAGCCAAAGGCAGACACTTAACTGCAGAGCCACCGAGGCATCCTTCACTTTAAAGCTTTACCATGTATTGAAGTCACAGCTGTACATGAGTTGATGAGTACCACTAGGTCTGTTGTGGAAAGAGCATGTCCCATCCCATTTGTTATATACTACTACTCCTCTATTCTTGGCTTGTTCTCCTGTTTCTGTAGCCGGAGTGTCTGAAAATCTTTCTCTGCCCCTCATAGTGGATTGAATTACCTGGTTGCATATAGAAATAAGTGCTGAAAATAATTTTCTGCTGGAAATATGCAGGCTTTGCTCAGTTATCTTGCTTTTGGTGTTGCTGCTGTGAAATCGGAAGCCATTCTGATTCCTGATCCCTTCTCTCTGTGGCCTATTTTCTTTCTCCGGAAACTTGTAGTTACATCTTCATATTGATATTATATTGGGTACTCAAATAGGTCCTTCCTTTTTTTTTTTTTACTGCAATGTAGTTGTCATACAATATTATATTAGTTTCAGATGTACAACATTGTGGTTCAACATTTACACATATTATGAAGTCATTCCCAGGAAATCTCACTACCATCTGTCATCATACAAACTTGTTACAATATTATTAACTATATTCCCTATGCCATACATTGCATTCCTGTGTCTTATTTATTTTATAACTGGAATTTATGCCTTTTGTTTGTTTCTTTAAAGATTTGAGAGAGATAACACGTGAGTGCACGCAAGTGGGGTGGGGCAGAGGGAGAGAAGAATCTCAAGCAGATTCCTAGCTGAGCTCAGAGCCTGATGCGGGACTTGCTCTCACAGCCCTGAGATCAGATGGAATCAAAAGTTGCACGTTTAACAGACTGAGCCACCCAGGTGCCCCTGTAAGTTTGTCCCTTCAATCCCCTACCCTTGTTTTGTCAAATGGGTCCTTTCAATCTGGAATCTATACTGTGCTTCTTTATGGGGAACTTTTCATGAAATATTTCACTGATAATCTCTTGCCCTCTATTTTCTCTGTTTTTTTTCTTTTAGGAACTGATGTTTAGCTGTTAGACTTCCTGAACCCATCCTCTGTCTTGTCTTTCTCATTCCTATTTTTTGTTTCCTTGTTATTTTACCTACAGTTCTCAGTGGCTACTCTAACCCTTTAACTACTCTTATGTTGTAAAGTTCCTTAATACCTACCTTCTAATGGTAGCTCCAGGGAAAATACAGATCATCAAACATCATCTCTCCTACCAACTGTCTTTGAGGAAAGAATGTCTTTGTTTCTTTTGAGATCTACAGTAATAATTAAACCACCCATCACATTTGCAATTTTTTTTTTTATCCCAGATAGTTAAGTATGCTCCATCCTAAAATACAACCAACAAAACAAACACATTTAACCTTTTCACGACCCTGTTCTCTCCTTCCGCCTTGCTGGACTTCTTGAAAGACCAGATGACACTACTGTGTGTATTTATTCAACCCTGTGCAGTCTACTCCTCTACCATCTGCCCATCGACTTCACCTACCCATCATCCCCAAGCTAGAAATAGAGGTAGCTCCAATCCCTTATTCTCTTTCACCGACTTATAATTTATCCATTGCAAGCCCTAAAAATTTTGCCTCTAACATTTCTTAAGAGTGTCCTAACCCTACCATCAGAACTCTGGCTGAAAACCTTGATGTCTCCTACATGGGATGAAATTTCCAAAACCATCTCCTGGACACTAGATTTTTACATTGTCCAGTGTTCAACATTGCTCACAGTTGTGTTGGTATAGAATCTCCCTAAAATCACTGCTGAATAAATGAAGGGAGGAAAAAAATGATCTGACTGGGTTAGTCTAGATGGCCATTCTGTTCCTAAGAATTAGGTTAGTTTGGGGCCTGCTGAGACTTATTTTGAAGAATGATTCCTTGTCTATTTGTCGTTATTTAACTTAAGCTCAATTTCAAAATTATCTTGGCACATAGGTAAGAGATTCACACTTCCTGAATATAAAAGTTACTATAAAAGCCACAGCTATCAAGATGGTGTGGGTACTGGCAAAAGGATAGACAATATAAACTGACAGAACAGAGTCCAGAATTAAAATTACAAATTTATGGTCAACGAGTACCACCATTCAAGGGGGGGTAAAGAATATTCTTTTCAAGGGAGTGTTCTGAGCTCAGATGTATACATTCACAAGAATGAAAACAAGCCTCATGGGTGCCTGGTGGTCTGGTCGGTTGAGCGTCTGACTCTTGATTTCAGCTCAGGTTGTGATTTTGGGGCCATGGGATTGGGCCCTGTGTTGGCCTCTGCACTCAGCATGGTCTGCTGGAGATTCTCTCTCCCTCTCCCTCTGTTCCTCCTCCTGCTTGCACATGTGTGAGGTCTCTCTCTCTGTAAATAGGTGGAATATTTAGGAAAAAAAAAAAGAAGAAAATGAATTTCTACCTAACATTGTATATAAAAATTAACTCAAAATGGATCAAAGATATAAGAGCTAAAAGCTACAAAACTCTTAGAAGAAAGCATAAGTGTAAATCCTCATGATCTTGGGGTAGGCAATAATCTCTTAGATCTAACACATAAAGCAGAAGCAATCAAAGAAAATACAAATGAACTGGACTTCAGGTATGCCTGGGTGGCTCAACAGTTGAGCGTCTGCCTTCAGATCAGGCAGGGATGAGTCCCGCATTGAGCTCCCTGCAGGGAGCCTATTTCTCCCTCTACCTAGGTCTCTGCCTCTCTCTCCCTCTGTGTCTCTCATGAATATATAAGGTCTTTAAAAAAAAAACAAAAAGAAAAATTGGACTTCATCACAATTAAAAACTTGTGTTTTACATTCAAATTAGTAAAAAAAACCCAGAGAATGGGAAAAACAGTTTACAAATCTGATAGAATTGTATCTGAAATATGCAAAAAAACTCTTAAAACACAATAATTAAAAGACAACCTAATTAAAAATAGGCAAAGGATCTGAATAGACATTTTCCCACAGAAGATACACAAATGGCCAATAAGCACATGAAAATATGTTCAGCACTTTTAGCCATCAGAGGAAGGCAAATCAAAACCACAATGAGATACCACACTTCATCCCTACTATGATGACTACAATAAAAGTTGGATAATAAAAAGTGTTGGGGATCCCTGGGTGGTTCAGCGGTTTGGCACCTGCCTTCAGCCCAGGGCGTGATCCTGGAGTCCCACATCGGGCTCCTTGCATGGAGCCTGCTTCTCCCTCTGCCTGTGTCTCTCATGAATAAATGAACAAAATCTTAAAAAAAAAAAAAAGTGTTGGTGAGGATGTGGAGAAACTGGGACCCTCATACATTGCTGGAAAGAATGCAAACAATGCAGCCATTTTGGAAAACAATCCTCAAAAGGTTAATAACAGAGGTCCCATATGACCCAGCAATTGCACTCCCAGTATGTACCAAAGAGAAGTGAAACATATGCTCTTATGAAAACTTGTACACAAACGCGCATCACAGTATTATTCATAATAGCCTCAGGTGAAAACCACCTCAATGTCTACCAACTGAAGCACAGATAAGAAAATGTGGTATATCCATTCGATGGAGTAACATTCACCCATAAAAAAGAGTGAAGTACTGATACATGCTACAAGATGGAGGAACCTTGAAAACATTATGCTAAGTGAGAGAAGCCAGATACAAGAGGCCAAATATTGTATGCTTCCATCCAGAAGAGCAAATCCAGAGATACAGAAAGCAGATAGTGGTTGCCAAGGGACTTGGGGGAAGGAGAGACTAGGAAATAACTACATAGGAGTATAGGGTTTCATTTTGATGAAAAATGTTCTTAGAATTAAATAGTGGTGATGGTGGGGCGCCATCTTGCAAATACACTAAAAAACCATGGACTATTACAATTTTAAGAAGGTGAATTTTATGGTGAATTACATCTCAATTAACAACAACCTTTGCAGTCTTAAAATCCCCAAGGGACAAAGAGATGGGTTGTTGAAAGCCACGTTAGGTCCAAAGATTGGCAAAGCCTATGAGACTAGTTCAAGGAGCTTTCCTTTGAACTCAACAGGATAGTAATGTGCAGCACCACCGTACCCAAGCAATCATTTTACTGTCCTCTGGGTGTTTATTTTGCCTGACACTCAACATCTATTTCTGTTGTAAAATTAAATGTATTTCTGTTATATTATGAAGATGTAATCAACATTGTTGTTTGCAGAGTATTTTGAGGGCAAACCCAGGAATTCAATTTCCAGTAGGGACTTTGGCAAAGAAGCAAAACTTGAGGACTTAGGTAAGAAAAAGTGATTTTATGCTAAAGAAATAAAAACCACTTAATGAAGATGAGAGAAAGAAACGTGTATACATTTTCACAC